AGCCGCCGCCGGAGCGGCCACCCCCGCGGCGCGCGAGCGGGCGGCATCCCGGCGCTATCCCGGCGCTGTCCCCCGGGACATGTCCTGAGGCGCCGGAACGGCCTGCGCGAACCGGCGGCTCCGCGCCCGGCGGAGCGTGCGCCCCGAGGTACCGTGTTCCTTGGAGAGCCCCCCGCCTCGCGTGGCGGTGGTGGTTAGGATTTGTGGGAATGGGAATGGGGCTGGGATGCTGCCCCGTTGCGTTGCGGGAGGCTGAGGGAGCCCTAAATGAATGAGCTTGGCTGGAGGGGAGTTTGCCCGCGTGTCCGGCGAGGGAAGTTAGGGCCGGTGCTCCCCTGACTTGCCAGGGCTGTCCGGCTGGGCTTGTCACTGTCCTGGCGATATCCCTGAGGATGCCGATTGAGAACGCGAGCAAGTGAATTACCAGGGAACTAGCTGCTCCTTTGGGCTTTTTTTCCTTTCCCTTTCAGAAGACTGCGAGAATGGTTGAATAGCACCTGGAGTAGCTCTGGAAAAGCGTTAGGAGTGTGGGGTCTTTGGCAATGTGTGTGTTAGTGCCCTGACCTCGAGCAGGGCCCTTGGCAAATGGTCTGAGTGAAGAGTTAGATTAGAAATCAAGCAGGTTGATTAACAGTGTTTGATTTCATAGGTTCTATAAAAATCTGTGTGGCATTTTGTCACGTGGAATGTTGGTGTCCCCATAGCTGTGGTTTCATGGCTGGTTTTCCCAGCAGCTGAGCGTGGAACATGTGGAATGGGCCGGTTAACACGCTCAGTGACTCCCAAGGCGTGGAAGGTTCCTTGCTTACGGAATGAGCTTCTCCTGCTCAGGCCTTCTCCATTAAAAACGCCTTTCTTCAGCGCATGTGTGCGTAGGTGTGTGCATTTATTATGAGGGTAGTGCCGATTGGAGGACCAACCCCCTCCATCTTACAGGTTGAGGTATTTTGAAATAATGCTATAAAAGCAAGCTTTGTAAATGGGAATAAAGTTAATGAACACCTTTAGCCACTTCTGCATGTGTTTGTAATTGAGTGATGGAAGTCTCTTTAGAGTTCTTTCCTATAAGAGGCCTGAGGTAAAACCCAAAAGTTTACAGAATTGTGGTAGTTACTTTTAGACACTAACAGACCTTTTCATTTTGGGACTGAAGCCCAACAGTTTTTAAAAGTTTCTCACAGTGAACATTTACTTAAATTAGTCTTGCCTTTGCTGGCTGTTTTGAGCTAGCATATTTAAAGCAGAAATTGAGTTTCAGTCAAAGGACTTAAATCAGTAGCTTTAATATTTTAAAGAATGGGAGATGGCAAATTGGATTTAAAATGTTACTCAAGAACGATTATCCTGATGAATTATTGTAGTTGAGCACGATCTTAACCCTCGAATTCTTCTGGGGAAATCAGCTCTAGACATACTGTAGAGCTAGTGGTGCCATATCCCCCATAAGCAGGATCAATGATTGCATACTTCCTTTAGAAGTTTCTGGGTTTAATCAGCTGTGTTGTTTTTTTAGTTACTTTGAATTTTGTGTTTGCAGCATTTTCATAGACGTTAGATCCGTGTGCAAGGTGCCAGCTGAAGGGCAGCTCAAAGGGGAGATGCTTCTGTGGTGGAAAAAATGAGAGGCTTGTGAACCTGAGGGATGAACCCTTCAAGTTGAATATATGTAGTGTGTACAGGGAGAGCTGCAACGGCAGATACCTCCAGCTGGGTGAATCGCCTTTTGTCCTTGGAAAGCTGGGATGTTAAACCAGAGCGTTAGACTGGCATTGTGCTGATGTGTCCTGCCCTGTTCCACCCTGCTTTTATACTCCCTGTAGGTTCTAGAAGCACTTTTAGCAGTTGTTGGGTTCACACCACCTAGAGATGCTACCTTGTTTCTTATGCATTATTAAATATGAGCTTTTTCAACTGTTTTTTTTACTCTCTGTGTGCCTATTTTAACCTCTCTTTTCTTTTTAACTGTTCTGCAAAACACGCAGTACAGACTTGGAAAGTGTTTGGCATATTGGATTTTTTATGAGGTGGATCTTTTTTTGAGAGGGGAAGGGTTTGAACGGTTTTACCTTTTTGGATAGTATTTGGTTTGGTTTAGTGGGGTGCTGTTTTCTTTATTGTTTAGTTGTGAGGGGCCCATGACCTATGATTTTACCTGTGCAGACTGTGTTACTGATGACTGAGTTGGTAAGCGACGTACAAATGAAACCAGGCAGTTCTCTGGGCCTGTTGGGCACAACAGGACTCAAGCATATCAAAAGCAAACTGCCTTTTTTTAACACATATTCTGGTAGAGGATCTGAAGGTAGTACTTAAGAAGGCTCTTTTTGTTTCAATAAGTAGTCTTCAAAGAAAAGGTGAACTTAAAGGAGCGGTAAAATGTTTTTTGGACACTAGAAGAAGAGTTATACTGCGTTAGACTCTCTATCTGTCTAGCCTGGTATCTTGTCTCAATAGCAGACAATACTTTATACGGGGAAAAAAGCATGAAAAGAGTAGCCTGCAACGGGAAGATGCTGCTCTTTGGAGAATATACATGTTTATAGTATATTTAATCCAGTTAAGCTTTTGAATATCTTTTTGCAGAGAATCAGAATGACGAAGAAAAGGAAACGCCAAGAAGATTTCCAGAAAGTGAAATTGAAAGTTGGGAAAAAAAAGCCGAAGCTAGAAAATGCAACTGACACCACTTTCAAAACCAAGACCATACAAATTCCTGAACAACTTAAAGAAGATGGAATGCTTCCGACACAAAACAGAAAGCTTAACATAAAGGTATGCATTGACAATACTTTCAGAAATAGATAAGTGACATTTTATTTAGCAAAATACGTTTTAGCAAAAAATATTTGAAATTTTTATAAGAAGCAGTGAGATATTTCAATGTGGCCCTTCTTCCCTTGGTGGTAAGCTGACCCGTGGATTCAGTGACTTAGATTCTGCACTGCTCAAGAATCTTAAGGCAAAGGAAAAACTGAAAGTTAGACACTGATTTCAGTTTCACGTTTCATGCAGGTTTAACATTACAATTTATCATGGATTATAACTTCAGAAAAGGGTTTCAAAAATGGCCCCCTGAAATGATCTGTAATCTTCTTACATGTCTGCGGGGGATTTGTCCTTTTACAGTTGCTGCTGTCTTTTATCTTTTATGTCTTGCAACTTTCTGCTTGAGTTAGAGAACTGTTGAGGCTGAGGTCTCATCATTCTACTTTTGAGAACTGAGAGATTAGACGACTTTTTTCCTACTTCTGTTAAGTTGGTAGGGAAACGAGAGTTGAAAAATAAGGGATATCTAATTACCTGAAGGGCAAGCCACAATATTTCATTACTTCTGTGATTAGATTTTCATAGTTTGTTCATTGTTATGCTTTAAATGAATGTTACATTTGTTCTGAACTTACTACACTGCTACAAACCACACCAACATTAACAGAGACTTTGTACCCAAGTGCTAAAAAAGAGATGGAGAAGTTGAAGTATTTAAAGTAATAACAATAGCAAATGTATGCGTGTGCTTCCTTCCTTATAGGATCTGCTTTCACAGATGCACCATTACAGTGCTGGAGTTAAGCAAAACGCTCTTCTTGGGCTCAAAGAACTTCTGTCTCAGTATCCATTTATAGTTGATGCACACCTTTCAAGTATAGTAAGTGAAGTTGCAGCTGTGTTTACAGACAAAGACTCTGGCGTTAGAGGAGCAGCCGTTCAGCTGCTTCAGTTCTTGGCTTCAAAGGTGAGAGCCGAACAGATTGCCCCGTTTTTCCCTTTGGTAAGTGCCCACCTCTCCAGTGCCATGACTCATATCAGCGAGGGAATTCAGGAAGATTCCTTGAAAGTCCTGGATGTTTTGTTGGAACAGTACCCAGCCCTTCTGACTGACCGCAGTAGTATCTTGTTGAAGAATTTTGTAGAGCTTATTTCTCACCAGCAGCTGTCGAAAAGGATGAAAAGTAGAGAGAAACTCTCCTGGATGCTCTCTGTTAACCCGAATCGCAGAGTGACTTCTCAGCAGTGGAGGCTGAACGTTCTCACGAGGCTCAAGAAGTTTCTCCAAGCGGTAGTAGATGGGTCCAGTGATTTAGAAGCCGAAGGGCTTCAGGACCCAAAGGAGAGCCCTAACTCGGTGAGAAACGCAGTGTGTGTCACCTGGAAGGCCCTCGCAAACGATCAGCAACACGTGCAGCTATATGGAGATGGTGGCTTGCGACCAAAGATCAACTCATCGTTTAGACTGAGGTGAGACAACGTTACCTGGGTGTCACCTCTGTGTTTGAAATTAATGTTAAACTGTGGTTTGTTGCTGCTGAAGACGGGGGTTTCGTTTTTGTCTTGGGATTCTTGGTTAGCTGGGTTGTAGAGCACTTGTGATGAGCTGTGGCTTCAACGTGCCACAGAAATACTAAGGAAATAACTGTTTGAATATCAAAAACGATTCCGTTATTAATTAAAAGCTCTATTTAGGCTTTTAGGAATAACATTTTGGAGAGACAACTTTTTAGTAATTTCTGTATTGAAAGCTAAAGACTGCAGGTGACTATTGCGGGATATAAAATACATGTAGGGAACAAGCAAGCAGATTTCCTTATACTAAAAGTAGGTGTGTTTCTAACACCCATGTGTTTATAGTTAAATATAGTGAAAACATCAGTTGACTGAGAAGAATTTTTTTTTTTTTTTGACTGAAATAATGAATTGACAAAAACTTTGTGCCTTTTCCCTCAGGAATCTATTGTAATTTTAGCAACAGTCAAATTTCTTTGACTGTAGCTCATTTGTAAGTGTTACAAGAGGCATCTTACTGTATGGGAGTTCTGCTGAGTTGGCATTTCTAGGCATTTTTAATCAGTTCATTAGCTTTTATTTTCAGTATGGATAAAAGATCTCTTTTGGAAAATATTGATGAATGTGTGGGATACAAGCATTGCTGTAAAGAAACTATAGAATAAGCTTGTGTGCATAGTCTTTTTTTTTTTTTAATAATAATCAAATAGTTGAAATTTGGGGGGAAATAACTAACCATTATTGTTTCTCTTCTTCTTGAGCCCTCCTTTGAACTGGAGGGTGGGGGACACTTAATAGTTACGGCACCTTTTGTGTAGTTCAGTATGTATTACTGTAGATATCACAGGTGGTGCGAGTGGAAATGAACTACTTGAAAAGCAAAAATGCTCTTGAGCCTTTCGGAAGACTTTTAACCCAGAGACTTCACATGGTTTAAGAGAGACTGCAGCACTTATTTACTGATGGGAGAGGCTAAATAACAGGTATAAAGCAGTGTTAGCAAATTCAACTAGTAGACAATTATGGACCCATGTGTATAAGAGGACTCTGGTGTTGTGGATGCAGTGCCATGTAGTGTGTGATACACCGTGCCCTGGTAGAGATAGGGATGCCTCCTGTCAGAGGCCTGGAAAAGTAAGCAGAAAATCAACACCTGGTGTTACCTGTGTCAGAATCCCCTTTTTCGAAGGCAGATTTCAGTACTAGCCAGTGATCCGCCTGTGGTTATAAATACTTTCAAAAAGGCTTTTGCAAGCGTGAGGAGGAGCTGGAAGAGTAGAAGGAAACGTTACTAGAATCCGAGACAAGGTTCGCAAGACAGCTGGTGGCAGCAGAAGAGAAGAATGGAAAGAGAAGGGCCATTTATACAAGGTACTAAAACATTCTCATTTTATTGCATTTGTTTGTTGTTTGATATTGTTTGATTGTGTTCGTTTTGTACGAGGTGGTCAGTACAGCTTGTTTTGCTAGTAACTTAATTTAGGAAGTCACAGGAAGTGAATGTGGTGTCATCTGAATCTGATGGGAAAATTAGGGATGAGAGATCTACAGACTGAAGCCCTTGTCTAGAAATTCTGTCTAGTAAGCTGAAGATGTTTAAGTCTTTCTCTTCCAATCCCAGCCTTGGCCTTTACAGTCATTCCTGAGCCTCTGCTGTGGCTGTTAGTTCAAGGGCAATAGTGTACTCTAATGAGAGGTGCATAGAATCTTGACTGTTCTTTGAGGACCTCCAAAATCTCAGGCTGTGTATAAGTGTTAATTTAAAGAAGTTATTTATGAATAGTCAAGCCCTAACTGTAGGCAGTATGAGTGGGCCAAACTAGAAGTGAATAATTTCATGTGTATGAACTCATAGTAAAAGGGCTCATCACTAATAACTTCATAGAAGTTTGAATTTTGCCCTTTAAAAATAAGGTTGTAAGCAGTTATGCTTGTAATATTTTTAATTTGTCAAGTTCTTTGAGTATGGGTAGGACCTAATTGGTAACTTTAGTGATTACAAAAAGGGATTTTCAGAATCTGTGTTTTGTCCTGAGCTTAGAAAAGTGGATAAGTCAAAGATGTCAATTAGAGATGACAGTGAATTAGGGAATTACTAGAATATTCCTGCTGTTTTATGTACTGACATGTTACTTTTTTTGGTATCGAATTTCTTTTAGGTTTGGAAAAATGGAAAACCTTCACAACTTGAATATCGTGACACCGGGGTGTGAGATCTCTGCTGAACTGGGAGTGGAGCTGAAGAGAAATGCTACAGCATCTGTTGCTGCTGAGGGAAAGGACAGAATGAACCTGTATAGAACACTGCAGAAGACAGACAGAAAATGGAAGACAAAACGTAGTGAATATATGTAGTGTATGGCCTGTGCCTCAGATAGAAATGGAAAGTCCAGTTCATGTGGGATACTGATTATTTCTGCTGCAAATAGGCCTATACACAAAAAGAGGAGGACGGTACCCTGGTCTAGGCTCCAAGAGCCATAAACCCTTCCTAAATTGAAATGACTCTTCTAGTTGAAGCAGTAGACATCTGTTTCCCTATCTTCTGTTTCTTTTATGCTTCCTTAACTTTCCTGTGCTGAACTTATGTTGGTCTTTTTTTTTGCTGTCAAGTTGCCTATATATGTTGCACAAGCTTTGTGTTTGTGTGCTCCTGTTTGGTAGGACTATCAGCACTTTAAGAAGAATGACATCTTCAGGGGCTACGTGCACAGTAAAATGGAGTTCTGGCAGCTCCCATCAATAATATTGTTTCCTAATGTAAAGATATACTCTGTGGCATTACTATGATTTCTCCAGGTGTTTTCAAGTTTTATCCACCCTTCACTTTTTAATGTGATAATTTCTTTTTTCATACTCAGAAAGATTTCTCTGATTCCAGAGGATTCCTTATAGGTGATTTTTTCAGATAATTGATTTCAAAAAATACTTATTCAGAACTGTTTTAGATGTTTACTGACATTTCAGAATCTCAGCTGTGTGTGTAATCTTGTCATGGCATTTACTTTTACAGGAGAGTCACCTGTTCAGTGAACTGCTAGGTCTCGGTATCAACTTGCTTGTCCTGTAGCTTGTTAGGATTCATTATGGTTTTACCAGGAAGATGGGTTTGTCTACCCTGTCAGTACATGACCAAGAGCTGATTGTTTAATTTAGAAGAGTTTACCTTCAACTCTTTGGAATCTTGGCAAGAAAGTGGTGTCTTCAGTGGACAATCCATCCCAAGCCTTAGGTTGCCATCCGTTGTCAGAAAGGTTTAAAATTCTTTCTCACCTTGCCTATTTGAAAAAAAGCATGTATTGCTCACCTCAACCTTTTACTGTGTTGTACGTGTCCTCTCCCTGCTTCCTTTAGGGTTTCTGTTTATTAACATTTGGGTTAATTTTGGGTTAGTTGTGTTTTATAAGGTAGCAGTTCCAACGAGGTAGAAATTTATCTGTAAAGTTAACAGCAGTATGAGAAATGGAGCTTAATACAATAGTGTAACTAATGGAATAATTTGGAAATGGTAGCGTGATCAGGAAAAACTGCCTGACTTTTAATTTCATATGAAATGTTTGTAAGCAGTTTCTCTGTTTACGTGCAGAAAGAAAGCAAACTTCTTTTTCAGAACTTGTGTTTGGGGTTTACATATCCCTTTCTAGAGACCACTGAAACAGGAGTTTTAAAGAATATGTGATTTAGTATGTACTAGGAATTTAGATTCACGATGATAATTCCTTGCTCAGAGTTAGGAAAAAATATGTGGAACACAATGACCGAAATCATAAGTTGAAGCTACTGCTCACTATAGGGCAATATTTATCCTTAAACCGAATGTGCTTTATTGTGGTCAAGGAACCCTTCTGAAAGATTATTTTGCTTAACAAATTAGCAGTAATTTTTCAGGAGTTATTTTCACGGAGCTTAATTTTAAAGGAGCTTAAATCTTAAAACATCCATATGAATTCTGTCTTTGCTTTTAAGTTATGCAAATGCTATCCCTTGATTGCTCAGCAATCCAGAGGCAGACGTTTTGTTTCTATGGACAATTCGTTTGGGGACAGAAGTGAAAAGAGTTCTGAGAGAAAAGGTCTTTGATATTCTTGTTTTCTGGAAGATATATATACTTAGTTTGAAGTATAGCTCTCAGTATTTTAATAACTTCAAGTTTGCAGTCAGACCATTTAAATTTTGCCAGTAGTTTTGAGAATATTAAAATTGAACAGTCAAAAAAGGAATGGAAGTTACATTTTTTTGCAGAATGTTTTTTTCTATTATGTTTAGAGTGGGAGATCGTTATTGACTGTCTCTAATAAACCTGGTGTGTTTGACAGTACTTGGTAGTCGCTTTTGTTATTTTTCTGTTCTTTGTGGAGCTTGAATCTTGAATAAAACTTCTTTATTGTACTGAACACAGTGAAGCCTTGTCTGTTGCCCAAAGGCAATATGATGGTGCAAATTGTGATATTTCTCCCTTTGTCTCGAGTTTACATTTAGCGAAGGGGAGAGAAGTGTTGAAAATTAGTTGGATGTTACGGAAGTACGAAAACCTGCAAAGAAACTTGAGTGGGTTTATTATAGCTGTTCTTCATTCTTGTTTTTCTTCATGAACATGTATAGCAAGAAAGCAAAATATTACTGTGTTAGCAGTATAAATAATGATCTTTTTTTATTACTGTCTCTTTTAATGGTGCGTGTTGTACTTTTTTCCCCCCCCTTTCCTTCCTTTTGTCATTTAGGTCTCTGACAAGTGTAACGGACAGCACAGAAAAAGGCCTGTCCTCCGCTGAAAACTTGAAAAGTTTTATTGAGATAATAATTCCGTTACTGATTGAGTGCTGGATTGAAGCATCTCCTGCCCAGTCGGCTCCCATCCTTGGAAATCTTTTGGAAGCGGAATCCCAGCAGCTTATGCAGCAAGTGCTTAGTATAATACATTTGTTGTGGAAACTCACAAAGCGGCACGATGAAACGTGCAAAATGGTAAGGGAGAGGTGACCCGTGGCATAACTGTGAGGTCAGTTTTGTTTTGATCAGAATTAGCCATTTGTGGATGGGGGTGATGGAAATATTTGTCCTGAACCAATAGCCTCTAGGCATTCTTGATGTATTGCAGCGTGAAAGCTTTTGGGACTGAAAGGGGTTTTAGGGAAGAGGAGCGTTATGTTAGAATATTTGACTCCTAGCTACCCTATAGAATACAGCTTTTGAGAAAGTGTGATAGGGAAGTGTTTATTCCTTGTGTTTGTGAGCTGAAAAGTTGTGCATGTGAAGGAACAAAACTCCCAAACCCTAGATCCAAGATGTTGAATAACTGCTTTGTACAACCAGAATTATTGTGTTGTGGTTAGTATTAGAAGCCTTTGAATCAAAACTTCAGTAAGATTTTTGAAAAGCTTTCTTTAAATTTCTCAGTATATTACTTCTTTCTTCTCTTTTTTGACAACTCTTCCTGGTCTTCTAGAGGTTTGCAAATTGGAGAAAGTACTGTCAGCTTTGCAGTTTGAGTGTTGATGGTGGTTGGAAAAATATCGTCAGCTCTTTTTTCCTATATATGTATAGGATTATAGATTTCCTTTGGTGAATATTGCCCCTGTGCTTGAATGCTAAACCAAGGAATACATCTAAGTTGGTAAAATTAATAGTATTCATGAGATCTACGTATAGAATAGTAGTCCTCACGAAAGGTTTCTGCAGGGCTGCTCTCTGTAGCCGTGTTGTTCCTGTCTGTTGGTCCCATGAAAGGGGTGCTCCTGAGTCAAGATGTGAGCCGCTGTTGTGCAGTGTTTTGAACAGGATTCATGGTACATGGCCCTGGAGTACTTACTTAATAGATAGTGTGACCCTTATTGATTGAAATGTTGGACACCGTGTGTGTGTGTATACATATATGTGGGCATACATCTATATTCACACGTGTAACACCCTGTACTGGGCTCCATATCAAACTCTTCACCATACTGAGGCCTTAAAAATCAAACTGCTTTCGAACCAGTGTAACACTATGGCACATTTTGGAGCCCTTTTGGAGAGGAGGCTTTGTCAGGTCCACTGTAGTGATCTGATAACCCAGTTCAGGTGTGTATATAACTGAAAATAACTCCTAAAACTGTTAATTTGAGTTAGTTTTAATCTAACGTTGTGGTAAAGATAATAATTTTTAAATTTTCAGGCCACATTTAGCCTGCTTAAGATAGTGACAATTTCTGGAATTTTGTTTTTTGTGATAGTTTCTGCTCCTTCAAGAATCTGGTATCAAATCAAAATGTTAAGCTGCTTTTTGTTTTCCAGCAATCAATAATTACGCCTTTCCTTTGCAATGATATTTTTACAGTAGGTATTGGGATGTAATAGTGATGGGTAATTAAAGAAAAAAATTTAGGTACAGAAAGCTGAAATTCAGTTTTTCATGATTATATTCGTGTATTTAATTTACTTCTATGTTTTCTGTGCATCATTTACTTCCCTTGATAGGAACTATGGCTTCGAATGAATTACCTTGTTGATTTCAAGCACCACTTCATGCGTCACTTTCCTTATTCCTTACAAGAAACAGTCAAGCACAAAAAGAAAGATTCATGCAAAGGGTAAGGCTAAATTCAGTGTCATTTTATGTCTTTTAATTTTACAAAATAAATGAGATAGTAGGCATGAATCACATGCCTTATCCAGTGTTAAGCCTTTAATGTTAAAGGGAACTCTTGTTCTTAATTGTGTGTTCTTTAAAAGTCTGTAGGAAAGCTTTATTTTTATTTTTTTTTAAGCATGATGATAGCTTTTGGATTGAGAAGCTTTGATTACACTTTTAAAAATATCATATAGGAAGTTCTCTGAATGTTCTCCAGTAGAAAACAAAGTGCTCTCCAAGAGAAATGGAAGTGTTCCATTGAACACTTGATCTGGGCTGTTGTGTGTTAGCTTATGTTTTGCCTGTCCCTTATTGGTGGTTTGTGATAGTCGTGTGTGGTGGTTCTCATAATTCTGGATACTTTCTTTAGTTTATTGCTGCACTACATCAAAACATAATTAAAGCCTGTTTCTTTATCTGTTCTTCCACAGTCATATTAGAGGGCTAGACGCATAAAGCCAGGAGGGGAGATGAGTCATGCTGTATCTCTTCTTCCTAGCCAGGCAGTGCTAGAACAGAGAGCCAAACCCTTGCACTGCTCTTCGCTACTGGGCTGGTGTGAATGTTGTTCTGGTTCCATTGATCATCCGTCCTCTTGGCTCCCAGGCAGGCGCTGGCTTGGAGTCCCCCACGTGGGACAGTAGTGTCCGCACGAGGTCTCTTCTGGAGCCCGTGTCTACTCCTGTGCTCCTAGTGAAGCACTAGCCTCTGTGCTCCAAGTGTGAGTGAGTGTCTGCCTTGCTTTCAGGTACCTGCAAACTGAGCTGGTAATAGTGGAACCTCCTAGGGGAGCTAAGGGCCCTCCATGGTGCCCCGAGGTTTGTCATTGAAATCCTGCTTGGTAATTGGACTTGGGTTTCTCTGCCTGTGAAGGCCCGCAGGTCAGAGATGTAGCAGAACTCTTAGCTGAAAGGGAAGCACATAAGTTATATTCATTAGGCTTGTGATACTAAGGAGTCCTGCATTTTCAGGCTTTTACTCCTTTTCTGGAGACTGAAAACCTCAAAATTAAGTTTGGCAATTTAACTGTGTTTCTTGTCTAACGGTTACCACCCTGCCTATAATTTGTATCGAACCTTCTCCACTCTGTTTCTACTCACTGGTCATTCTTGAAGTAAAGATGTGCAAGATTGTTTTTATTACATCTGGAAATTTAACTTCATGCCATGAATATAAGAACAGTTTTCTCTTCTTACCAGTCCATAATATCACACAAATGGATTTCTCACTTTGTGCTCCTTCCTGTTATCATGTAACAGCATTTGTGAAAGAAGAGAAAAAGGAGATACTGCAACTAAACAGTTGTTTCTGCAGAGTACATAGTTGGAATAATTTCCTGGAGTTGTTTTTCCTGCTTCAGTCACCTAGAAGTGCTGATAGACCAGTGTAGGAATGTCAAACAGGAATAACCAGCTAGAGAGATGCAATGTAGAGCAGCTTCTGTTATTGTTCCCACTATAAACATGAGAACTTCTCACATCTTGAGGAATAAACTGGATGCTTGCCAAGTGCAGGAGGTCTTGGTCAGAATCTAAGCATCTTCGTGGTAGAACAAGAAACTGTTGAGGTGGTTTATAGAGAATAGTCTACTACTACTATCTATCTACTATCGTAAATAGCTTGCTTAAAACTGTAAATTGAATAGCAAAAGTACTGCCACAAATGCTAGTATTAGCTATGAAAGTCTTTGGGTTAAACATTAAGCAATTCTGGAAAAAGAAAGAGGAGGAAGTACAGGTTCAAAATACTGAATCAGTTTCAGAATGCAATGCTTTGTTTTGGAAACAGCAAAAGATGTTGTGTTTATTGAATGAAATTCTAATTTCTTGATTTAAAATGGTGTGTGTATATACATATAGAAGTATTTTTAAGGGCTAAATTACCTAAAAGCAAACATATTATTATTCCAAATATGATTTTAGCATTTTATGTGTAAAACGAGTCTGTATTTTAATCCCTTTAATCTCTTTGTTAAGTCCAAACCACAACATTTGGCTGTGTATGCAGGTTTGCTGATGACTTTGCAGAGATCTGATTTCCATTAATGAAACCGTATTCTTTTCCCTTTGTTGTGCCCCAAACCTTATAAATTAAGAAGTGCTATGTAATTTCTACCAAAGTAGCAATTGTGTAAAGTATCTTTTACATTTTTCTCTTTATTTTCCTTAGGAACAAGTATTGTATGTCATCCTCTAACAATGTAGACCATCTTTTACTGAATTTAACCCTATGTGACATCATGGTTTCACTGGCAAGTGCTTCAACCCTGCAGACGGATTCTGGATGGTTGGATATGATAAGGAAATTTGTGACGGATACTCTTCAGGATGGCAGCAGGTTGAATAGCAAGCAGGTGAACAGATTGCTTGATGTCACTTGGAGACTAATGCAAATACAGCAAAACAAAGGTAAGATGTGAAGAGTTTCTAAAAAGCCAAAGGAATCTCTTAAATTCAAACTGTTGGTATGCAAAGTAGCACTGTATTTCTGTACCTGTTTTTCTTAGTTTTTAAGCAGCTGCCGTGTATAAGAAGGCAAAGAGTTTAGTGGGGGGAAAGAAACCCAACATGCAACTCTTTGTCTTACTATTGTATTCTAACACTCCACTCCCTTGCTTAACATCATTAGTGTAATGCTTATGTAATGCATTACATCAGTCATGTCTAATGATATTTCTTTGATGACTTGAAATGTCTAGATAGTGCTGATGAAAGCTGCCAGAGAAAAAGAATCCTTTTCCAAGGGGAAACACGTTTCCAGTTACGACTTGTAGGACCTGTAGGTCTTCTAGGTTCGTTGGACTAGACGATCTCTAGAGGTCCCTCCCAACCTCAACCATTCTGTGATTCTGTTGGTTTTGTTTTTGTATAGTTTTCAAGGAGTGCTTGGTTGTTCTGCAGGTAGCACCTTGCTTGGCATGCTTTCAGTTGCTTTTCAGGTAATTAATGTAGGTCATCATATAGAAAAGACTATTTAAGGAGGTCTAAAGGTGGCTGGGATCTGTTGTGTTTGTCAGTCTAGTGGAAGCGAATCCCACAGCTGAGTAGCAAGGTACAGTCTGCAGAAAATGCTCTGCCCTTGGCAGCAGATTTCATTGTACTGTGAGATGAAAAGATGCCAAAATATATTTGAAGGATCATTTGACAGTTAGTATGGTATCTCCTTCCAAGTTCCTTTTAATTGGGAATCCATCTGTTCGCATTGCCCTGGCAACAAGATATTAACTAATCATTCCTACCTAAGTTCCAAATTTAGCTCCTTTTTGAAGGAAAATAATAGACAAATCTCTTACTCTGAAGTGGGCTCATCACCTGAGATAAAGCGTAACAGGGTTCAGAAAAGCACTTTCCAAAAAATTTTAGACTTAAATCAGTCACTTTACACTTTTTTTCCTGATAATGAAACAAGGTTTTTGGTTTTGCTAGATGGAGAATATCTAGTTGTTCCTAAGCAAAGTGGCCATTTTACTGCTGTAACTTTCCCCAGGAATGCCGAAAGTAAATCAAATGAGCAAAAAAAGCTTCAGTAGACGTGCAGTTTACTGGAACCGCTTCCTTAAAGTGGTTAAGGCTGGTGTGTACGTAGGACCACAGGATGAATAGAGAGAGAACCAAAGGCACTATAACAATGAGGTTTGGGAGAGTATAGATGAAGAATTATTATTATTATTATTATCAGTAATAGTAATGTGAGGCTGTGGGAGTGAATATACTTACCGCTTTAGGAAGGAAGGAAGTAGAAGATGTCCACCTACGATTCACTTAGGAAAAGTAAAACTTGCAGATCTTGCAAAGACTTGAAAAGCTATTTTGCTAGTCTGTGCACTACATTGTTTTCAGAAAGATTAGACATTGTCTCTTTATTAATTTGTATGGCTCTTTCATGAGCTGTGTAAAAATGTATTATTTTGATGATTTAAAATGGTATTTAGTAGTTGTGTTAGATTGTTCTTCCCTGTGGAGATAGCCACAGAATCATGCAGATATAGATTATAATTCCATCTTTGTGTGTGTGCACGTGTGCATATGAATATAGTCTGAAGATAAGCACTTTTTAAATTTCCTTTTTTTATGTGTGTACATTTTCTTTCTAGTGGCAACAGAACCCTTGATAAAAGCAGTATTTACCCTATACCAGCAAAGGAATCTCGCCTTTCCTGTTCGTACATTGCTTTTGAAATTTTTTAGCAAAGTTTACCAAAAAGAAGATTTGAGGACTCAAAGAATCAGGTAAAAACCTGTGTGTTATCCTTTTTCACGTCAACATCACATATTTTTTCCAAGCTTAGAATACTGCATGTCTACATAGATATTCTGAAATTTTGTTGTAGAAACTAAGATGTTAGTCACGTCAGTGAACTTTGAGGGTTCTGAAATATAGGAGTTTTGTGAGGTATTTGAGATTGTGAGATATATTTAGATATCTTTCTTAAAAAAGCTAGTTAGCTATCTAAGTTTTAATGACTTACAGATTTAAATTGAAGTATCTGGCTGCAAGCTTTTGATAAAATTGTACGATTGGCCTTCCCAGGCATCTCTGTGTCTTTCCTCCAACCAAAAATCATGGTCTTGGGAGTTTGTATCTTTGGGGGTTCTCTTAGCACACAGCTATCTTTTCATGCTTAATTTCTTTAAGAAAAGAATTTTGCTTGTATTTGCTTCCCTTGTTTTGGATACGTGACTCTAAGGGGAATAGGTTTAAGGAGATATGCTCTTGTCCTCTTGGGTTACCAGTCTCATGCATCTTAGGATCCTTGTCTTGCTTTAGGTAAGAGAACATCGTTCTCTGTATTGCTGTGCTATCTATACTTTTTTCATCATAAGATCTATCAAAACTGTTTCCAAGTCTTAAATTTTCCAAAGGGTGCTTTTCAGCCAAGTCATCTGGTGCCAGCTATGTAAAATCCTTAAATATAGACCAGTCTTCATCAACTCTGCCTCCTTCCAGAACTGGAAAAGGAGAGTCTTCAGATACGGAAACAAAACATATTAGTGCTGTAAAGAAATTTGACTTGCATGCTGTCAAGTCAGTTCAGAAGAAGAGGATTGGGTAAATTTTATTGCAGAGGCTTGAGAAAACTGGCATGTTAGAATGTAAGTAATAAGAGATTTCAATAGGTTTGAAATTCGCTAGTGGAACATAAACATTTCCTTCATTCATGAACACACTCACATGTGCAGGTCCTTCAAACACTAGAGCAGAATCCATGCCTGGACCCTGGAGACCTTTTATCCAGGCTCCAGCTCTGATCATGGAGATTTCCGGATGCTGATCATCTGCTCCTGCCTGAAGTTTGTTCTGTTGGAGCACCTTGATAGAAAGTTGTTGGTGACATGCTGTTGAGAATCAGTAACTGAGTGGACTAATGCAGAAATAAAATGGGAGAATTGGATTATCTGAAGGAATAGGTTAATAGAGGAATGAAGGGATGTAGCTGTACAAAACAAAAAGGAAATGTGTACTTAGCAGCTAACAGGGTTTTTTATCTGTCATCTTTAGCCAGTCTGCTGCAAACAGTTGTCCTTCTCAGATTATTCTTTTTCTGTATGTATGCTGCCTGTGTTGTAAGGCTTTGGGGGGGAAAAAAGGAGCTTCATTTTTACAGTAACCATCTTTAACAGTAGCTATATGAAAGTATTACTGCTTTTGAACAAGGCCATACCTCGTTCGGATGAGATTATTTGTAGTTAGTTTTGCCCAAGAAAACCCAAACTGTAAGAGCTGCAGGAAGAGCTGGAACATCAGTTTCCTCCCACTTGTGTTTAAATTGCCTGAGACCTATCAGACATAGGTTTCTGATGTTTTGGGCAAAGCCAATGGGGAAGAATAGGAAGACAAATAAGATCTTAAAAGGGTTGTTGTCATGCCTGTTTAAAGTATAAGTGAACAAACTGATTTACTCTACTTTTAGCTGTAAAGTAGAAAGAAGTTTCTCATAATCAAACAGCATGGGGCTTTGGGATAGCTTTCTGTAAGGACCAAAGCAGAAGATATGGAACAGAGTTGGTAAACCTGTTCTATAGAAGAGAAGATACGGGGGACTTGAGTTTGAGCCTTGTCTCAGTCCCTGGAGAGATCAGGGAGCCCTGTTGGAATCCCTTTCCAAACACACAAGGGACAAGAAGGTCAGGAACGAGGTAGCGAGGAAGGTCAGGAACGAGATAGCATGAATATAAAACGAACGCTGCTTTAGCAGTGTGCTCGCCTTCAGTGCGGAATGACTGGCTGGGTGGGCAAGAGGAGAGAGCTGTGCCAAGTGCCCTGGGTCACATAGGGTTTTCTGCTGCTCCTTTCCACAGAACTCTCACTGTGAACCTGAGGAGTTTGGAGCTAGCTAGAGGGGCTGGAAACTGTGGTGACAGTTGACTAGGATCAAACGGTAGGGTCAAGTGATCAATGCCTTGGCATCTGTTTGGCATCCAGTACCTGGTGTGTGCAGGGCTCCTGCTGAGGCCAGAGTTGTGCAGTATCTGTGTCAGTGGCCCCAGTCATGAAAAAGGTGCACTTGGCAAATGTGTTAGTTAATTGCCAAGATAGAGGGAGTGGGTGATGCACTGATGCAGAGAGCCTCTGCTCAGAGACACCTATCGAAGCTTGAGGATGGTCAAGAGAAACTCCGGGGTGTTCAAGTAAATCTATTCTGAAGTCCTGCATATTGGGCAGAAAAGCCTGTGCGTCTGTTGTTGCTAAGCTAAAATGCAGTGCTGGAAACAGAGCTGGGGGTTGCAATAGGTGCCAACCATCAGTGCCTTTGCATCGTGGAGAGGTCGGAGCGTGCAGGGCTGCGTGGGCAGCAGCGAGGCGGGCAGAGCGGGGCTGGCCTCTGCTCTGGACTGGTGTCCACGGGTGTCATGCTGTGCCCGGCCTTGGCAGGGACAGGTTATTGCTTCTGCAGAGCTGTACACATCACCTTGGGGCACAGCAGAGACCCCTTATCTGCTGAGTGTGGTTTTGGTTTTGTGGTTTTTTTTTTTATTACCGTTTTTTATTGTTATCATTATTTATTAATAGCACCATAGGAGAGCAGTGCTTGAAGTAATTTGCTTGAGTACCTGAGTATCTTACAAAATTTGTGGCAAAGTTGTACTTTTAAACTTGGAGAGAGTTAGTGGAAGTCACACCTGAAACTATAAAATAATTCAGCGCTTCCTTCTTATAAATATCTCAAAAGCAAAAATGGAAAGCAATATTCTCTAATCAATTTGGTTCATTCCCCCATCGGGAGAAAATAGTGAAGATTTGTTTTGCACATTTTTTTTCTCATTTTCAATATACTTGTACTACTTCTGAATATTTTAAAAACAATTTTTCCAATCATGGTTTTGTTTCTTAAACAGAATGAATTTTAAGAGTAGATGACATGATTTTAGTTTGTCCCTGTTAAATCACTATAGCCAATAGACTGTTACCTATTTAAAAAAATCAACATGTCAGCAAAGGTAGAATTGAATTTGAAAATCTCAAATATAGAGAGTTGTAGCTTGATTGAGGAATTCGGAGTGCAGTAAAATACAAAATTCTTTTCTATTCCATAATGAACTATGCACAAAATTAAGCTGTTTTGCCAGCATATGAGCAGTTCACACAAGCACTTTCTTGAAAGAGTCGAAATTATGGAATGTGGGGCAAAAGTGGCTCACAAACGAGTGGGTGTTTTGTTTTGTGTTATTTATGCACAGCCTTTATTAGTGCACCAACGTGTTCAGACTTTGAAATACTCTAAGCAAATCATAGATCGCTGTACGGCAGTGCATGGCATCGTAATTCCACCTAACCCAATCTCTCCTTAGAGTCGAGACGAGGCAGGACGGGCCGTTTTTCCCTACCTGTTTTCCCTATCCGCTGTTGCCTCTCTCCTCAGGAGCCGGAGCAAGGTGCTGTCCCGCTGGCTGGCGGGTTTACCCCAGCAACTCGCCCTGCTGGGCACCAAGAACCCCGAGCTGTCCAACCAGCTCATCGATATCATTCATTCTGCTGCCTCTCGGTCGAACAAGGAGCTGCTGCAGAACCTGCAGGCCACCGCTGACCGCATATACGGTAAGGTGCCTTCCTACAACACAAGGAATGTTGTCCATCACCGGAGCAGGAAGATGCAATATGTGGAAAATACCCAAGTTTTCTAAGTATGCTTTAATTTGCTCTTCTGCTGCTGCCTTCACTGAAGTTGAAGGGTTGAGCAAAGGTGCAGAGTTAAGTTCTTTTGCATCTGAGACACTCTTTTTTTGTCATTAATTAATAATGCAAGAACCTAATCTTTCACGTTGTGGACTTCTTGCTGTTCTGGTGATTACAACAGTACTGTGCCCGTGTGCTGCTAAGCACGTGTCTGCTTCTTTTTGCAAGTGATGAGTGGAATGGATTCTCCTGCATATGTGAAGTAAAATGTATTGAGATCTGTCGAGGTGACTGTGCTACCTCCTAAAAATATCCTGTGCCAAGGTTATTTTTATTACTTCTATGTTGATAATAATAAATTGCCCGTTTATGGATTTTGCTACTGGAATTATACTTTTCTCCAGAAGTATTTTGGTCTCTCTGTTTCCCACTAGCGTTTCTCACTACTTTTGCTCCCCTTGCTTGCTTTGCTGCTCTGTGGGGTTCTTTTGCTCCATGGAGATGGGGGCTACTTGCAGCCTGTATATTCTGGGCTTCTGTCTTGCGAAGGAAACGTGCCTCTAGGGCAGTAAATGTTCACGGCGTTGATGCCAACGTTGGTGGTGTTGACCGAGTGTCTCGTTGCCGCAGATCCCCTAGATGGCACCCTGGTCCTGCTGCCGGCCGAGACGCAGCGGCGCCTGGTGCAGCTCGTCTACTTCTTGCCGGGGCTGCCGGCCGGGCTGCTCGCCTGCCTCAGCCGCTGCTGCATCATGGGCAGGATGTCCGCCGAGCTCGCTGCCACCCTCATCGGGATACTGCACATGAGGTAAGGGCCCGAGCTCCTGCTTGCCTTCCCCGGCTCTCGAGCAAGTTCTTGGCGGAGCCGTTACGGCGGCTTTGTGCTCCTTCAAGAAAAGCAGCGTGTGAGAGGAGGCTCCGCGGGGGAAGTTAGTGTTCCTGGCCAGTTCCACTGCTTGTCCTCTCCTTTGGCCTTTGGAGCTTACCCTGGTGCGTATTCTCCACTGCTTGATGACAAAATTGTATTTGTTACCTTACGGCTCTTCAGGTTTTGAGCGCCCCTCTCCCCAGAGTGTCATGGCTGGTGCGAGTTGTTCTGCCACAGATGACTGGTTTGCCTCCCAAATGCCTTTCCGTGGCATTTCTTGTAATGAAGGACAGCCAGCGAGTGTGTATTCCTGTATTCCATCTCATGGAGAAACTTTAAACCTAGCTCCTGCTGTAACTGCTGTGCTTACAGCCTAATTGTACCTGATAGGCAAGTGTATTTAGTTAGCAACGAGGAAATGACAAATTTCTGTTTTCCTCTGGCTTGAAAGAATTTAAGTTTTGACAGTGAAGCCGGGAAGTGAAACTGTTGTTCCACTGAATTGAGTTGAAGGCTTTCTGTGATTTCACCATGGTGTTTTGTTCTTCCTTAAAAAAACACTTTTTTTCCCATTGTTCGATACTGTTGAAACTGAATAAGTAAGAATTGGGAATTAAGCTTTTTTGACTTATGCTTAAAGAAATATTTTTTCTTGGTGCTTTTTGTAACTGAAGCTTTTAAAGTACAAAGCATAACACAACATAATGTACTGTTCAATGCAAATAGTTTGTATTAGCTGTGTAATGTTTAAATGTTAATGAGTAAAGTGACTAACGGTATGATAAAAATTATATTATGCTATATATTGTGCATTACAACTATAAAAATAAAATTCTAGGTAGAATTGGGAAGGTAGAACTCAAAGTTGTTTGCGCGTACTGGAAATTTAGGGACAGACTGTAGCCAAATTGGAGACAAATTAATCTGTAATAGGCACTTTGTGATGCTTATTTTGTAATTAAGTGTTAACTGACTGGTTTTTTTTTTTTGGAGGAGGGCAGAGAACAAGTGAGTGGGGACATATTTCACACTAATGAGCTGCTTTCTAAAAATTATCAGAAAGCTCTAATGTTGGGGACACTATTTCCTTTAGTAAGAAGATACAACAAGTCCTTGGAATATTCATATCCAAAATTAGTGCACACACTGGCAGTGGAAAAGGAGGGATTTTTTTTAATCAGTTAGTGTAGTAAATGATACTTGATGTAATTACATTTGCAGGCTTATTTAAGCAAATCTGAATTCAAAGATATATTCAGGGTTATTTACCTGACAAGTCGATCTGAATTAACTACATGAAAAAATAGTACTAAGGTATTTATCCTAGTGCATCTTGTTGTTTTTGATCATCAGTGTTATTACCAGAACTTCACCTTAGGATGCTTTAAAGAACTGGCTGAGGTGACCTCAGAAACATTAGTGCACTTCAGCTGAAGTAACTGCTGTGGTAACTGCTGCAGTGCACCTACCAAAGGAAGTCTCCAGCAGTTCTGAGATCACCTCAGCTTCAAGGTCTGACAGACCAGTTGCTTAATCTAACGTTCCCAGGCTCGGCTGCCAAACCAGCTTTTGAAGGCATTTGAAGACAGCCAGGAGATAGGTAACAATTAATGCAAATTTGTCCAGAACAGAACAACCTGATCATCTTTTTCTTTGGGAAGAGAAGTTGTGCTGCTAAGTAAATAGCATATTTTTTAGCTGTGGGCTCTAGCTTGGCTTTGCAGACTTCATCCCATGTTGCTGCCTGCAGCATGTGAGAGGCAAATACAGCAGCTCGGCTCCTCGTCAGTGACGTGTGCCCGCGTCCCGGCCAGCCTTGTGCATGGCTGCTAGCAGATGGTGAGCGTGGACTGCATGGAGTCTAAAGGAGAGCAGGCAAAGAGCATCTCTGTGTAAACTGTGGCCATAGGCAATGACTGACAAATTAATATCTAGAGGCTAAATAGAATAAGAAGGAAGGAAAATGTGTTTTTGTGTGCTTTGAGGACTGTTGAAAAGAGATGGGAAAAAGGCAATTTTTGTATATGCCAAGGAAAGGATTAGAAATAGAGATTTGATGCAACAAAAATATAGATTTGGTTTGAATGCTAGCAAAAAAAACCTTCACAATGGAGAGATGTACTGGAATAAACTGCGTAGTAAGTGGGTATGGAATCTGTTCACAAGAGTTAGTAAAATTGCATTGGGTGGAATTATATTGTCCAGGACAGAGGTAAAGCCTTGAAGGAAGGAGATGGACTAGGTGACTTCTTTTAGTCATTTACAGCTCTTGTGATTCTATTGAATTAATTGTACAAGCTCTTGAAATAGAGGAGAGGAAAAAAAAAAAAAAAAAAAAAGGTACCCATCAAAATGTGCGTGATTGTGGGTATTGGTCTGGTTTATCAGACACTTTCTGTAGTTGATGATGTTTTGTTTTCATAAATTCGTATAAATTAGTACATTCAGAGAACAATAACTTTAGAAACATCACTTACTAGTGTAAAAAGCGGAGGGGAAAAAAAAAGTCACTAGATGGCAATGTTTTTCTTCCAAATACTTGTATACTGTTTTGTGAGAAGGATTTTATACATTTATTTTCTCCCAAGCCACTTGTTTCTCTGTCATGCTTTAAATAGGTTGCATTCAGTAGCATCTGAAACTCACTGTTATATTTGGTAATTGTTTTTAATTCCTGTAAAAGCCCTTGTTTCTATATTCTTCTTGACTGGTAGGCTGTGAACCTTCTTACAGGCATCGAAGGATGCACACACACACACCCAGGTATATTTGCCAGGGAGAATCCCCATTAAGGTGGAATTGTTGAGAGTACATAGGAATGTTAAGACTGTTATTCCAAGAATAATCTTTATAAACTCAAGGAACCCCATAGCTGTTGTAATGCTTTTTAGTGTGAACTGTAGAAGCAGACAGTAAATGTATCCAGATGATCTAAACCACAGTCTTTTGGTGATGACAGGCAGTAAGTGTTAAATTCCAATTATTTTATGTCAATGTTGATAATCTTTGGTTACTTTGAAGGTGTCTTTTAATTCCAAATTTTTGTTTTTGCAATGGTAAAATAAAAAAACAGATGGTTTGCAGGAGCCAAGCAAGTGAGCCAAGGTGAACTCCTTTACTTGCTTTATTTGCCTTGCTTCCTATCAATGTGCTGCTGCTGCCCGGGCCATGGACTGCTATTAAAGGAAGCTTTAGAGCAGCCCCCTGCTTTGGAGGGGACAGCCCAGCACATGGCCAGGTGATGCTAACCAAGCTCCGTGCCGGAGAGCAGAGCCTGCTCCTGTTGAGGTCCCTGGGACCGACCCAGCTAGGGAGCGTCAGGTGAGCAAGGGGGACAGGAGGTGTGAGGAATTGGCTTGATTCCCCGGCAGTTCCCCAGCCCCTCGGTTAGGATTGCTCTACGTGACCTGAGGTGTAAGAACCTGTGATAAATCCAGGGAAGGAGGATTCAGAGAGGTGCAACCGTGCCAGGGTTTGCGGGGAGGGATCCATCATCCCACTTTTGTTCTTGTACAAACCAGTAAGGAGGAACATTGGAACACAAGTGCTGTCTTGTGACTGCAGACTGAAAGAAAGGAGAGGCTTTAGCTTCTAGGAAAGAGATAGTTCTGAGTTGGTGTCCGATAAAAGACCAGCTTTATGGAAACAAATGATAAGGTCTTTGAGGTATTTTAGAAGGTCTTTCCCCTGTATCTGTAGGGTCAAGTTCTGTTATTTTGACCTGTTGAGACAAACCAGCAGTCTTGATGTACTCTGGCACATTTCTAAAAGAATTTGTGTGAAGATTGATTGGGATTTGGAAATTATTGGGATAACATAAATGCACTGCTTGTCATTTCTGTATTAAGGATGAGTGGCTGAAACCAGTGGGACAGAGAATATGTAAGGTTTCCACGCAGGTGGACCTTTCCTTTGTAGCTTCAGGCCTAGCAGTGGAGACCGGGCTCACACCTTGACGGTATGGAGCAAGATGAGGAAAAATAACTCTCTGGGAAATGAAGAAATATATTAACAGTAACCGAGTAGTAACCTAGTGGTAATAGGACTCAAAGTCACAGACTCTGCTGTTTCAGTATGTGAGGTGTATGTGTACTTGGTTGTTAGAGGGCTGTCTTCTATCTAGGTAAATCTCTCTTGGGCTTTTTATTGAAGTTCAAAATTTAGTAAGTTTGCCAACTCTTTTTTTTTGTGTATAATAGCTGCTTTTCTCATTTGTTTGGAAGTTAGACTAGCTGTTTACATGGCAATTGCTAAGGAACACCATTTGTTAGACTTAGTGCTTCATTTTCTGGGTTTTTTAGGGGCTTTGTGGTGATTGTCGTCTTGCAAACAATATTCTCTACTTTTTTTTGTTATTTTATTTAAGGTGGCACCCTTGAGCTCAGTGCTTACTTATGATGTATGCTATTGTATGAAGCTTGGTTTAAGGAATGCAGGTTATGATATTGTCGTAGTATAAACTAAGATACCACGTTTCTAACCATAAGGGAAAAAAAAATTCTGTCTCTTCTTGCCGTGTCATAATTTATGAAAAGCTATACAGCTTAAATACAACTTAATAATATGCATTATTTTGGCATTATATTTATGTTTGTTTTAATCTCTTGGAACCAGGTGCCTGGAAATTATTTCACTTGAACAGAATATGGGATGAATAATATTTCACTGTGCAGATAGAAGTAATAGGAATTTCTTCAGGAGACAATTGATGAGGTACCTGTGGCACTTCTCTTTTGAAGTGGGCAGGTCAGGAGATGGCCAGTAGGTTCAAACACCAACTTCTTGTATTTGTTGGGCACTCTCTTCTGGAGTCCCGCAGATGGCTGGTGTTTCTGTTGCTGTAGAAGTGAAGAAGGACGAGGGCCATAGAAGAGCTTTGCGAGTGCTCTCTGCAAGTGAAACAAATTGTGAGGGAATTTTCAGTCTTCATAAGTTCAAGACAACTTACATTTTGCACATCAGACACTTTTCCTAAGAGATGGAGCTTTTAAAAAATATTTCGTTGCCTTTTAGATGATAATGGGGGAGCTTGGTTGTCATCTTGCCAAGAAACAGCGTGCACTTGGTGGTTCCTGTTGTTTTCAGAAATCTGGTGTTTAGAATGCGTGGAGATGGAGATTTTAGCACCTACTTGTTTAGGAAGCAACCTTTTGTGTCTGCAAATATGTGACACATCACCACCAGGTGTATTTCGGGGCCACAGTAGAAGAGAAAAGTCAACCCAACAGATCTTGGAAAGTAAGTCCAAAAGCACACATGTACATATGCACATGCCCACACACTTTTATATGTATAGGTAGGTATAGTAGTTGTGAATTGGTTGCTAATAAAAGGTTAAGATTAGCAAATTAGCAAGTCTGTGTTTATTCACTGTAAAGTGCTTTTTTTTTTGCTTTTTTTTTCTCCCTGGAAAATGTGCTAATAAGGTTTTAATAACCATCAATCCAGACTGCCTTGCAGTATATTCACATATCTCATTTTAGAAAGAAAAATCAAGTTGGGACGTATTTAAAAAAGTAATAAAAATGCTTAAAGTACTGTCCATTATAAATAGAGGAGGAAGGTGTGCTTTCAAATTCCTGGCATTTCCCTAAGCAGATGCTACTGTGAAGACTAACAGCAGAAGATCGATCTGTTTCCTTTGCTGCAGATCACACAGGATCGTAGCTCTTGAGAATCAGATCCTGAGATTTCTTGCAGTGTATTGTGTCGTCCAGATTTGTTTGTGCCATTCCTTTTCCTTGCTCCTTGTTATGTAAAGGGCCAAGGTCTAAGAGAGAAAATGCCAAGCTTGTATTCAAAGGCACAGCCCTCTAAATTTGTCCTCAGGTACTTGTTTGTAGTTGGATATCCCTAAACAACGGGAAAAAAAATTCTACTGTCATACTTACAGTTTTCCATAAATGCCACTTGCTCGTTAGTGAATATTCTTTAAGTTTACTTTCATTTGCAATGTGTAAGCAGTTTTTTCTTTGGATAACCTTTGCAAACATAGAGCAAATGAGTAGCCGAGAGGCTTACTTTTGACGATGCGTAGTTCAAATTGTTGTTCTCTTAAAATACAAATCATGTTTTTCTCCAAATCCCTGTTAATTCCTTGCAGATGTTTGTTGTTTTCGAATGGAAATACTTGATCCTTCAAAAGAGTTGATAAAAGTCGAAACCCAAACGTGACACTAACAAACCTGACCGTTGCCTACACTTGGTAACCTGTAAGAGGAAAAGGAAGAAAATACACATGCCCTCTGAGTTTGCTCAGAACCCGAGTTACCTTGGGATGGATAGATGGCTTGATATTAAGTTGTTTCAGTTTAAAGCTAAGCAGAAATGAACTATGTCAAAGCTGAGATAAATATTGACACAGGACTCTAGTGTTTTAAAATAATGTATTTAATGACAGGTAAGTACCAGGCTACATTTTGGAGATGTTTTATGGTTTTCTTCCATAAAGAAAGGTACAGCAATCCCCATCTTGTTCTTTCCTTTAATTTTGTTTCTGCTCTTGTGTGTGGACTGAAGCTGCCTCCACTGTGAATCATTATTCACTCACATGCAGTTGTTCATTTTTTGAAAATACTAAACTGCATTTTGGCATGGTGCTGAATTGAGATGATGTCTTACGAGAATTTTTGGGTTGTATTGTATGAAGCAGTTGCCAACCTCGTCAGATTAGCAATTTGTACGATTACTTTTTTATCCCCTATTTTACAACTTTCCCCCCCACCCCAAGCAAAAATCATTTTAAACTACTGTCATATAGTCTTATTACTATATTTATAGCCAAGTGACTACGTAAGACATGACTGCAAAGAACAACCTGGGAGTCGTGGTGGACAGCGAGCTGACTGTGAGCCAGCAATATATCCTTGTGGCTAAGGAGGCCAAGAGTTTCCTGGGTTGCACTGGGAATAGCCTTGCCAGGAGGTGAAGGGACATGAGGTCTCCTCTTGTCCTGGTGAGGCCGCACTTGGAGTCCTGTGTCTGGTTCTGGGCTCCCTGTGCAGGAGATGTGGATGGAGCTGCTGCAGTGACGTGAGGAAAGGTGGCAGGGAAGGGACTGGAACTGGTATGAGACTTTCTGCATGGGGTAAAATGGTGAGAGAGCTGGGACTGTTGAGCCTGGGGAAGAGAAGACCTGGAGTAGAAAGAGGAATCAAATCAATCTGTATAAGCATCTCAAGGGAGGTTGTAAGTAAGATGGGGCCAGTTGTTTCTGTTGTGCCCAGTGGTAGGATGAGGCAGTAGGGACAAACTGAAACAGGGGAAATTCCATCTGAACATGAGGGAGAATGTTTTCGCTGGGAGAGTGACAGGATCAGGTTGCCCAGAGAGGTGGTGGAGTCTCCATCCATGGAGACGCTCAGAAGGTGTCTGGATGGGGATCTGAGCAACCTGCTGAACGTGGCCCTCCCTGAGCAGGGATGTCAGACCAGGGCATCTCTAGAGGCCCCTTCCAACCTCAGCCAGTCTGTGATAATGGTTCTGGGAGGAGACTGGTTGGGAAGGAATCCTCGGCAGCGGGTTTCCTCCAGCTGAAAAAGGGAGTTGTTCTCTTGTTTCCTAGAACAACCACCTGATTATTGAACCTTCTGTGAGGAGGTGCCTACTCTCTTAATAATATAAACATAAATAATTATTACATTTTTACTGATTATGAACCTCAAATACAGTTACTTTGTTTTCAAGAAATGAGTGAGTTGGCAGGTATTTGTGCCCATGAACACTTACCTGTCTTGTGTCTATGGAGCAGAAGGGTATCAATTGGAGAAAGAGAGGAAGGATCTTTTAGAAAAACTTGATAGCCCAGCAATAAAAAAACAGGTGTGTGAGGCCTTGGTTTAAATCTGTGTTCATTGAATAAAGTGGATTTAAGATGAGGTCACCTACCTCAACTTCAGAACAGTTTCTTCTTCTTCTTTGAACACTCTTCATCATGCTAAGTGGGATGTACTCTACTCTCCTGGTATATGGGTTCAATTCTAGTGTGAACATGCACCTTATGTAGAATCTAGGCAGAAACAGATTGCAAAATTGTTTGCTGGTTTTGTTGAATCTGTGTGAAATATTTCTTGGATACTGCAGTGGATTTGGCCAGTTTCCATCCTTGGCTTTCTCTGTTGCTTTAAGAAGACTGGGACCTCCTTGGAAGGAGGGAGATCTTGTTCCTTCTCTGTGAACATTAGGGGTTGGCAACCCAGTGGAGTGGGAGCTTGGCCTTAGGAGCTTGTATTAATGTGGAGAAGCCCAGAGACCAGGTGTGAAGAAAGGGAAGCAGCCAGCGAGGCCTCGGAGAAGGACAGAAATCCCCGAGGGCCGGCACAGAGCCAGCAGTGCGGGTCACTAGGCTGCCTGAAATGAGCTTGGGAAGTGAAATTGCTTTTAAAGATACCATGTACGATGGAAAATTTGCCTAATAAGCTTTTAAACTTAAGTTCTCTCTGACCTATTTTGTGCTTTCTTTTTTTTTTTTTTTTTTCCCAAGAATTAATTACCCTAGGAGATGGTCTGATTAAAACCTGTCTTTCTTTAGTTTAAAAGCCTTCCCATTTTCTTTGAGGAGCTGCATATTCCAGTTGTCATCATTACTGATGGTGAAACTGGAATGGGTGGGAATGGATTTTCTTTCATGGGAGTGACCAAAATGTACATACCTGGCCCAAATTATGCCAAACTTGATGATTCTGCTCCCAAAAACATGGGACACGGAAAAAATCTCTGCAGAACCAGTTTTCTAGGATTTTACTACCCAAGGGGGAGTTAGAGGAGAGCCTATAATAAATGAAAAATTTTAAAATAATCTGAGAGCAGCTAGTTGGCCTGGAAGAATGGGAAACAAATTTTTACAACGAAGACCTGCAGCTTTCAGCAGAAGTACCAGTAGCAGCATTAAGTAAATCTGAATCATGTGCATTTTGCATAACGTGGTTCAGGGTGGAGCTGCAGCGTTTTGAAAAAAGCAGGTGTCAGCGTTTGCTCTGCTCTCCCAAATCTTGTCTGTGAAGCCAAGAACCAGGAGAGAGGCAGCACTGATGCACAGGCAGTACCTTCCCAGGTGGTTAGGTGCAAGTTTGCACTGAATTTTTACTACAAGAATGTCTACTTTTGAATTTAAGAAACAAAAATACGGTTTGGTAGGCCACTTCTCACAGGTTACACCTAAAAGGGCAAGTGTCAAAGAGACTTAATTGTTCTGATGTTGTCTTTACATCATATTCCCTTATCCATTTATAATTTCCTTATGCATTTATAATTTCTAAACAAGATTATATTAAATTTGTATCTGATGGCTTCAGCTATTTGGAATTAGGCAGTGAAACTTCTTTTAAATGGAGCTTGCTATGAATGTGAGCAGCTATGTAAAAAGTAGACTGGATACAATTAAAAATACAGCTCAACTTTATAATCAAATGACTTTTATCAGTTAAAGGAAATAAAAACTAGTTTATTTTTTTTGTGATGGATGTCATTGCCATATTAAGGATTATACCAGTATTTACAAAATGTGCTAGCTCTGTAATTGAGTAGCCAGCTCAATAGCCAACTAACCCCAAATTGAACAAAAAGTCCAATATTTCCTGTTTTAAAAAGAGCTATGCTAGCAACAGCAGGTGGCAATAGTGCTAAAATTAAAAATTTAGTCATGCAAGTATATGTAAGTTGTAAATTCGTAATTATATTGTTTTTGATAACCTCTCTGCTATTGGTTTTATGTAGATCGTCCTTCGCAGGCTGGAAGTGCCAAGTGCAAGATAATTCGGTGAATGATGTGGATTATTTCAGCTTCTTGTTTTCAACCCTTATAGGTAATAATATGAATTGTGAATATCATAATTTAGATTTAACAAACGGAAATGTTTTGATAGATAATTGCTGTATTTAATTTGGGATAAATGATGTTGTAAGTACTTCCTAAAAGTAGTTCCAATCTTATTTTGTATTTTGTTGATATATCTGTTGAGCTGTTGATCTGAATTTTTAGCACCTTTGATTTCTACACTTTGATTTGTCACTAGGGCTGCATATTTGTGTTCCCTTTCTTGATGTTTAGCAAACTTCATTTGAAAATATAAGGAAAATTGAATTTAGTATGACTTGAGCAAATTTTTTTCAAATTTAAATAAATTCTGTCTACTGGTGTATGACAGTATAAATGAGTGCCTGTTGGAATTCCTGTGAACACGCTTACACAAAGGAAAACATTCCATCAAATTGAAGTGAATTGCCCAGGATCCTCATATGAAGGGAAGTACTTCTGCTGCAAAACTGTTACTCAGAATAATATTCATGTGATGATACAACTAGGGAAAGTTACAATGTTTATAATGATATTACTGAGAAATTTCTTCCCATAGCTCTTATGTGGTCAAGTGCCTTTATCACCTTATAATTGTCATGATGTTCAGCTACTTTTCTTTCAAAAGTAACCTTTTTCTTTAAAACAATGAAGAGACAGCTGCCTTTGGTAGCTCAGGGCATGACAGCAGAAACTAAGGGACACTTGAACTGGTTAGGAGGAATAGTCCTGTTTTATTAATACTTGGATAGGAATAATAAGCCAAATCAATGTTTTTATTGTGCTTTCTTTAATCTTATGGTTATAGTAGAAAGCTGCTGAGTTAAATTGATTATGTAGCAAAATCATTTTTGCATTACCTCTTTTAAAAAAAAATATGTATAAATACTATGGGGGAAAAAAAAACAGTAGAATGAAGGCCTCTCTCTCCCTTTTATCCCACAGTATGGTTTGATTTGATTTCAAAATACCTGCTTTCTTTGCAAGTCAGAACTCTCATTTTTATAAACTTTATTTAAAATATCACGCAAGTTCGTCTTAACAAAAAACGTTATGTGGACACAGTTAAATGATATTTTTGTCCAGGAAGCTAATACAGTAGCATAATGCTTGCCTTGATTTGTAATACTGTTTTACTGCTTTTCTTTTTTCCTTCAGGGTTTTCCAGAGAGGAGCTGATGAGTCTTCAGGGCATTAGAGGAAAGCCACACATTAGTCAGACCCAGCTTTCACCAGTCTGTCTGTACCTAACTGATCTCGACCAGTTTTTACACCACTGGGCTGTGACAGAGGTAACGCATCCAACGCTCATTCTCACAGCAGCACACAACGTGGAATGCTTCCCATGCCTTTTCCTTTTCTGCATACCTCAAAAGTCATGTCACGGCTTGAAACAGAGTGAAAAATATTATGGCTGCTAAACTGCAGGCCATCGGAGAATATATTGAAGGAAGCCACTTTAAAAGGCAAATGTTCAGGCAGGTAATAGGGAAGATTTTACTTCTTCAATGAATGGGTAAGGGCTTTGGTGGAAAAATCCTGTTAGTAAAATTAAGCCTAGCAACATGTTTTGGCTTTCAAAAAATAATTTGTTGCAGGATTACTAATTATGCACATTTTTTTTTCTTTTTTTGCGTGAGTAGATTTCACTGTTTGAAAAGCTCTTTTAAAGAGAATATTACTGGTGATGAATATTAAGCTGCCATTGCTACTTATTCAGAGTAACTTTGTAAGTTTGCTGGGGGTAACAGCTTCCCTGTGAATTCGGTGCCTGCTTATAAGATGTTGAGAATTGAAAGGTTTTTTTTGCTGATTCTAAAGGAATCTGAGGCCGTCCCGTTTGTTTTGGAACTGGTAAATAGCACTCTTCATTGTGGCTCAATTTTTGTTGCTTACCCACCAGAAACCTCTTTAAGTTGTAAAATCATATTTTAATGAAATATATCAATTTGAAATTTTTCATGGTATCTGTTATGAATACAGTGAGAAGAGTGCAACATTGGCTTATCTGTAAGTTTTATTTCGGGCTTTCACGGCACCCTTTGGTTTAAGAAAGCAGCATAATAGATTTTTTTTTTTCTGGATTCATAATTCAAGTTTAAGTGATATTCTACCAAACCTATCTAAATTACTGATAGTCTATCACATATCTTGCTTGTTTAATATTATTAATATAAAATTATTTTAAGCAAGCTTATTTTTTGGCACCATGTCTTGCATATATCGTTACATGTCCTTCCTTCAGTCAGATGGCCTAAGGAGGAACTAAGCTTTTCTGCCAGCTGTTGTTTTTTCCCCTCCTCACTTTCTGTCTCCTCTGGACAATACTGGCTAGTTTTATCACCAAAATACCTCCTTCTCCTGTGTTTAAAAAAAAAAAAAAAAAAAAAATCAGCATGTTCTCTTCTCCTGCCCTGGAGAAAGTATAGGATTGTTCCTCTGTGAATTGACCACGAGGTGACTTTTCAAAGTTCAAATTTTCAATTCAAAGTTTCTCAGAATTAGAACGAGCATAATCCCATAAAAACATCAGGGGCACTTATCTTCTCAAGGACTTGCCTTTGAAAGTGCCACACCGTATGTCACATCTGTCTTTTTGCCTCTCTTGTACAAATCTAAGTTGCTTGGAAAATCTCACAAGTGAAATAATTTCACTTACAGATAAATAACAGGACTTGAGTTTACAGATGCTGGAGTAGTTCATGGATAACTTGCCTGCGTCTTTAGTCTCTGCTTGCTGGTCTCAGTTACTTCTGCTTTAGTGCCCTTGAAAGAGTCATGACTGACATAAAATGCCAGATAGGCTTTTGCTGAGTGTCTTTTCTCAGGAAAGATTCAAGGGGCTTTCTCAGGTCGACAGAGTTGGGTTCTGCATTGTTTGTGCAGGGGGCACTTGGACACCCAAAGGAGCATTGCATTTTCCACCAAGTTGTGTATCAGCCTCAGGTCTTTTGTGGGGATTGAACTATCAGAGTGTTCAGGAGCAAAAATCCCCGTGCATTAAAAAAAAATGTGCAAGAAGAGTGATAAGATGTTCTAGAACTACTGCCTTTAGTATTTTTTTTCTGAAATCTAAAGGAATTATGAGTTGCAGAAGGATAATTTCTTCCTGAGCATGTTTGTGATTGTAGAGAAAAAGCTAATAGTGAACTGGGCTGTATTTGATACAGGCCAATACAACTTTTTTATCGTATTTTATTTTGTATTTGGCAAGCTGTTGTATTTTATGTGCACTCTTGAGGCAAACTATTCATATTAAATGTTTGCCAGAAGGACTGGTAATATTACAGTGGTTTTGGAAGATGGGGTGGTTGTCCCTTATACCGTAGCCTTCTCCCACTGCTCCTCCTGACTTCTTTCTTACAGAAACTCTTTTTTGTCTAGAGAGAATAGTTATTTGGATACTGGAAATTCAAAGTCTTGATGTTTTTTATGGGAATTTTTAAGAGACATGTGTGTTGTATATACATGTATTTTCTGTTATGGACTAGTGCTCTAAGAACTGTCCCTCTAAATGCCATTTAGCTGTAAAGGTTAATTTTCACACTTGGCCTGAAAGAGACTGAAGGTAAATGCAGAAACCTTGCTTTACTTTCTGGAGCAATTTCTGCTGTATTAAAGCTAATTATTTAAAATCAGATCCCTGCAGCTTAAATAGATGGGATTCCTGAATAAAATATTGCAGCCTAAAGGAAAAAGCTTTTTTTTTTTTTCTTCTCATTTTAACTGTGCCTATAGTGCTTATCACTAATGTGTTCACTCCTCTATAATTGAATTGCCCAACCAGTAGCTAATGAAGCAGCAGCAACAGAAAGGAGCCGTTTAACAAGCTAACAGTTTATACATGATGATTTCTGCTATTATCACAGTAGACATTTGTGATATTTAGATGTTGGGTGGCAAGGAGGAGCAATCTGCTGTTCTGCAGTTCTCTTTAACATCTAGTTGTATTCAGCGCACATCTGATTTAAGGGAATAAAATACTAGAGCATTTAAACGTTAAGATGGAACACAAGGAGAGGTCAGTTGTTATTAAAAATTGAATTAAATTCCACAGTCCTCGGAGAGGCTTAGTATTATTTACTAACATGTCAAAAATGGAATGGTTTATCAGTGAAGGGTTATGATGGCTCTATCTGTGCTGCCGTGCTAACAAAAATTAGGAGAAATCAATAAATATAGCAAACAGATGCATATAAATTGAAGCTCGTGGAAGATACTCTTAAGAAAACAAAATGGTGTTGTAGTGCTGTAGACTTAACTTAAGCAGATATATTAAGACCTGAAAATCTTCTAACATTTTAGGACGGGGATTTGAGGCCGAAATTCCTGTAAGGTTTAGTTTGTGGTTTTCACTGAGATGTGGAAGTTAGTTACAGTCTAACTTTGGGAAAACTCGGAAAACTCTACATTGGGAAAAGAGCTGAGGGTAGATAGCAGCCCTGTTGGATTAGCAATACACGGTAATTCTTAGCTTTCATGAGGGAGGAGATTATTTGCAAGCCCCTACTGCCTTGTAATAACCTTTTTGCTCTTTACAAATGAGAAATACTTGCAAAGTACTGCTAGTGCTAAAGAAACAACAGGAAATATCCAAGCACTATCACGTGTCTTTGAGAAGTGCTCTGTCATACCCGTTATCCCGCAGCGCTTGTATCGTGGGCCGTCTTGGAGCTGGGGGCTCAAGTGCTGCTGCGGGGGGTCGCCCTGTGCCCAGCTAAGGTGGCTTCTGGCAGAGCCTCTGGCCCTCGTGCTGCGTGTGCAGGGTGTTGCACAAGCTGCCCTTGCCTGGCGGCAGCAGCGCCGCACTGCTGCAGAAAGCTGCCAGAAAGCTGCCTCCCGGCGCGGGACCGTGCGCCGTTTTCGGGGGAGCACCAGCTCTTTCCCACTGCCTGGGCACCAGGGGCGGTTGGAGACCTTCCCCTTGGAAATCCCAAGCTTGTTTTGCGGTCAGGCGTGCGGCCTGAGGGGCACGTGGGCCTTCCCGGGGGTGGAAGCGGCCGCGGTGACATTTTGCAGGTGACATTTCGCAGGCTGCGAGCGGGAGGCCGTGAGAGCGTCCGCACGAGCTCCCTGCGGAGCGAAGCCGTTCCCAGCTCTTCTCTCTGAAATCCTGTTGCTAAAACGGCTCCGAAAGAAGAGCTGCCGCCGTGCTGGTGTTTTAGGTATGGCTGTAGCTCCAGGAGGAGCCTGAGCTCTTGAGTGTGAAACCCGCCCCTGTTGCAAAGGAGAGAAGGGATTCCTGGCACCCCTGGCACTTAGCAGGGCGCTCTGGTTGTCTCCAGCCGGTCTCTGCCGCCCAGTGCTCGAGCCGGCAGCTCTCCAGCTTTAAGCACATGGCCAAATTGTTGCCCAGGGATGAGTGACAGCCAGTGTCACCCCTGTATTTGTAGCTAAGGGCAAGCAGGGCTCGTGACCCCGCTTAGCTGACCCGTGATTCGGGTTTAACCGCGTTGCTTCAGCCTAGGAGGCCACGCGCAGGCAGTTCCCGCAGCTCAAATGCAGAATAAGGTTTTATGCTGCATTTTATACTCTGTTTCTGTGCCCACAGTTGGGTATTAACTGTGTTTCAGAATCACCCAAAATCTATGGAAGGAAATACTGTGTCAAGATGCACAAGCTAGTATATGTGTTTGCCTAAGTACGTGTAACTCTTAGTAAACTTGGCTTTTCTGCTTCTAGATAGGGCCTCACAAAGTTTGTCTAGCTCCCAAACCCTGGATTGACACACCTGGGATGTAGCGGCTGGCAGGGCAGCGCATTCCTGGGAAGGCCGCGGGGACGCCGGCCAGCTCGGATGAGCAGCCCCCCTGCCTGCTCCTTCACGCCAAATCCCCCGGTCCTGCGCGCTCCGCAGGAACACGCTCCGCTGCGGAGCGTCCTGCCCACAGCGCTTTCCAGGGAGCCCTGGGACTGGCCCTAATGGAGCTGTGGCTGCCTCGGTTCAGCTCCCGGTGCTAAATGGGAGGTGGTTGTTCCTGTGAATTGAGGAGTGTGCTTTGAAGTTCACCTTAGGATGTAGCGGCTGCTGTTTGCCCACTATCTCCTAAAATAAAATAATTGCTCTCCTTTCGGTGCTCTTACTCATGTTGCTAGCTAAGTGGTCTGGTCTCGCCTCTCTTTGCTCAGGCTTTACCTTGTTCAAAAGATATTTCCCTTGATCAAAAGATATTTGATCCATTCTTTTTCTGCTTGCTTGATTCCTCTCTGCTCCCGCATGTGTGTCCTCAGAGCAAGCTGGATGTTTGTCCTTTTGAGGAAGGAGAGTACTTCACAGCATGATTAAGCCTGACATAATTATGCAGATTTTCACAGAAGAGCTGCTGGTAAAGTATTTCCCTTGGGGAGTAAGGTAGTGATGAGCCTTTTGAGTGAAGCTCGGTATGTCATGTTAGATTATGGGAAGAGTTGAGCGATTTAGGGAGTAGGAACAGTTAAATATGTGACTAAAACTTTCTGGCTGCTTCATCATTCTTCAGCATTCCTTTTGGCATAAGACCTTAGATTACGTTTGGGAGTCCAGAGCTGAGAGCATTTTGCAGATGGGAGATATAAACTGGTGGATTCCCCTATTAGCATTGCAAAAAGCCTCGTTCAGAATGGACCAAGAGTCAGTCAGACTCACTGCAGCAACAAAAATGCGTTTACTTCCCCCGTTGCAGACTTGATCAGAACAGCGAGGGATGTGCCCTATCTTCCAAGGGCTGCTTAGCAAGGTAGGGACCGTTGCATTAAGAGTGTCAGTGTTAAGGAGACAAATGCTCCTTTGCTGTATGCACTGACCCCAGGACCCTCACTTGCCTTTGCCTGTCAGACTGTTGTCCCGATCCTCCCGTCCCAGTCGCAGCGCCCTCCTTGGCACCGAGACCTACGGCAAGCAGAAGGTGTCCCTGGCTCTGGGTGTCCCTGCTGGAGCAGGGCTTGCACTGGAGCATCCCCAGAGGCGCAGTGTGGATGCGGGAAGCACCGTGGGGAACGGGCTGGTTTGGGCAAGGGGCTCCCTCCCTGCACGAGAGGGGCTGGCAGGGCCGGTGTTCGCTGCGCAGTGTCGCAACAGTCCAGCCCCGCAGGTAAGAGGGACATTGGGGCCCAGCTTGCTGAGGTGGACTGGGAACTAAAAAGAACCTTTAAACTAAACCTTTCGTAAGATGCTTGTCTCAAAATGCCATAATATTAAGGTTTAAATGCCCATTTCCTGCCCATTCACTTAATGCTCTGAAACAAAGTCACTCTGGCTGGAGTTCAGGACCGATCCATGAATGTGCCAAAACTGTGATAAAAGCTCAGCAAATGAAAATAATCAGTATCATGACGTTGTATCACGGAAACTAAACATCGTGCAAACCCTTGCCTGACGTTAATTAGTTGTTGGGAAAAACAGAAATTTGGGGATAATCAAATTGTATTTGCTTTTCATTTCCATATCTAATATATGTTTAACTCTTTATAGCACATGGTTGTTATGGAAGGCCATTTCAAATGGGTTTTCACCTATAGATGTAAGAAGGATTCCAGCTCCCACCTACTGCCATGGAAGTAGGTTTGGATGTACAGAATATTTGCTCTCTTTTGAGGGTCAGAAAGATCTAGAAGTATGGCAAAACAGAAGTGTTGTGGCTGTATGAAATGTTTGAAAAGTTGTAATCAACTTCTCATGACAACCATACCCCTAGCTAGCTGAGCTCATCACTGTTACGTGGTTATTGTTGGGTTAGCTTAAATAATTACTTTCCTGCATTAGTTTTCATCTGTCATATTTGTAAGTACCCTGAACAGGACAGGTCCTCCCATTTAAATCCATAAGATGGGTTCTTTTTTCTTTGTGTGCCTTTCCTATGGCTGCTTCAGTTTGCATTGATCTTTCTTGAAGATTGTTTCTTGAGCGTCTCCTGTTCCGCACAGTACTGCCAAACTTCATGTTTTAGGATCTTGTTTAGGACTTGTCTACTTCTCTTGAGATATAAGTGTAGAAAATGGCTTTTGCCTGTCTTTGTATCGTGATCATCTTGTGCTTTTTTGGGTGGAAAGTATTCCAGAGTACTTAAGATTTTATCATTTCCGAACTGCAGTATACAAAAAAACCCACCATCACATCTAGGATGTGTGTGTTGACTTGTATATGTGTGTGTATATGCATATATAGTTTATGGGTTTTTTATATCTCTCTATATAATTGCATACTGTATACTGATAGTTTATTGTTAAACACATACTGTGGGTATTCAATACCCGAGTATGTCCCAAACTGTCTCCTGAGAAGAGTCCTACTAGGCTCAAGGCCAACGTGCTTGAGCTGTTGCTCATGAGCAGCGTTGGGGTAACCTTTCAGTGTGGGGTCTGTCAAGGAAGGGTCTTTAATGTTCAACTTGGTGAGTTTCTGCAGGGCTGAAAGCCTCTGAGGTGCAGCTTTGCAAAACCTGCCCTTGAGGTAAAGATCAGCACAAATGATCCTGCCTCTCCATTGCTGTTGATAACTAAATCCACACCGTCTCATCCATGTTACTTTGGATTGGACTATGATATTACAAAACACTGATCTTAGGATTCTTTTCTGATTTTTCTTTGGGAGTTTCTCTTCATATATATATATATATGAAATATAGTGGAAATATAAGCTATTATTTTTGATCGGTAAGTCTTTTCTTGCCTAAGTGCCCCAACCTGCCCTGAACCAGGTGACACTTCAAAGCATGACAATATCACAAAACTTGAGCCCTCAGTTTCCAACCATTCTGTAAAAGTTTCTTTAGCTCTTTCTTCAGTCTGTAAGCACAACATGGGGACCTGAATGCGTGCATCTCTCAAAGTGCTGAGCTGCTTAATTCCCTTTGTGTTTGTTCTTAAGGAAATCAGAGATTTCCTCTCGCCGTGTCCTGGATTCATCATCTTCTGTGCAGTAGGTAGGAAGTCACTGTGGCAACATTTCATCAGCGTTTCAACAAATCAGCATTTTTTTGAGTCAGAACTGCTGTGTTGCTATGAATACTTTATATTTAAGATGGTCACTAAAGTAGGAATATGCAGGTGATGTTTGGTTGCATTCAGAGTACTTAATATAATGTTATTTTATTAAAACAGATGATCTGTCACAGCTTGTCCACTATACCTTCACAAAGTCAGTGTTTCGACATTCTCCAGACTGGCATCTGTAAATACCTGGTAAGTAACATTGTTTTCTGTGTGAACTTCTCCATATTGAATTTGCTAATAGTCTGATCAATCCCAAAATATTTCATGAAATACATGAAATGTATTTCATTTAGTCTATGTATAATTTCATCATTTGCAAGAAATCTGAACACAGTTAGTGAAGTTTGAAAAATACCAATTTTTTAGTATCCAAATTTATGTGTGTATATATATTTATTTTTCATCCTGATTTCTAAATACTTCAGCTAGTTTTCAAATGAAACAACCATAATTTTTTTCCTTCTTGAAAGAGTGGTTTCCTTCTTTCTACATTATTTTTTCTTCTTGAAAGAGTAACCAGCAACTTTGAGTTTTACAGGCTTACACGTCCTGACGCTCCTTAATCTTACAATGGGGTCTGTTTTATATCTAAATAACGGGTTATAGGATTGTCAGGGGGCAGAGCTTGAAGATCAGCCGTCTTTGATACTTTTGGTTAGGTGGGAGGACTTGTGTGTCCTGCTACTGAAGCAGTTCTGTGATGTAATGAGTCTTCACAATTCACTGTTTTGAGGCCTTCCTTAAAAATCCCTGTCCAGAGCTTCCGTAGGCAATGACTCATCCAGAGCTGTGCTCTGGTTTGGGGAGTTTCTTTTTTGAGGCGGGGGTTTCCAATTGCTCCTAGAATCAGCCTGTGTGTTCTGATCCAGGGGCTTCTGAAAGCCAAATGTGGGTGTTTTGTGGGTGTTTTGTGTTCAGCTTGTTCAGCAATGACTTGGACGAGGGCACGGAGTGCACCCTGAGCAAGTTTGCTGTTGATCCCAAGCTGGGTGGAGTGGCCAACACTCCGGAGGGCTGTGCTGCCATCCAGAGGGACCTGGACAGGCTGGAGAGTTGGGCAGAGAGGAACCTCATGAGGTTCAATAAGGACAAGTGCAGGGTCCTGCACCTGGGCAGGAATAACCCCAGGCATCAGGACAGATTAGGGGGTTGATCTGCTGGAAAGCACCTCCACGGAGAGGGACCTGGGAGTCCTGGTTGACACCAAGTTAACCATGAGTCAGCAGTGCCCTCGTGGCCAAGAAGGCCGATGGGATCCTGGCTGCATCAGGAGGAGTGTTGCCAGCAGGTCAAGGGAGGGGATCCTGCCCCTCTACTCAGCTCTGGTGAGGCTGCACCTGGAGTACTGGGGGCAGTTCTGAGCTCCACAGTGTAAGAGGGATGTGGAGCTTCTGGACAGGGTCCAGCGGAGAGTGAGAAAGATGATTAGGGGAATGGAACATCTCTCGTATGAGGAGAGACTGAGAGAACTGGGCCTGTTTTCTCTGGAGAAGAGAAGGCTGAGAGGGGATCTGATTAACATGTGTAAGTTCATGAAGGGAGAAGGTAGGGAGGAAGGGGCCAAGCTCTTCTCAGTGGTGGCCAGTGACAGGACAAGGGGCAATGGGTRYAAKTTGAARCMCAGGCAGTTCCATCTCCATGTGAGGAGGAACTTCTTTCCTGTGAGGGTGCCAGAGCCCTGGCACAGGCTGCCCAGGGAGGCTGTGGAGTCTCCTTCTCTGGAGGTCTTCCAAACTCACCAGGACACAATGCTGTGCAACATACTGTAGGTGTCCCTACTCGTGCAGAAGGGTTGGACTAGGTGGTCTCTAGAGGTCCCTTCCAACCTCAGCCATGCTGGGATTCTGTGTTTCCTGCTCCTTCACCAAGTCCCGCACTGCTGTGCCAAGGCACCGGGCAGCTCATGTGGGCCGTGACGCGGGCGTCAAGGGAGAGCCCCGCGAGGGGCCGGCGCCTCCCTGCGGCCACCGGGCTGCGGCTCCCAGCGCCCAGCTCCGCTCTCGCAAGGAGCGGTGCCTGCTCGGGGACGGAGCCAACGTGGAGGCTCCCTGCCTTGCTGCCGCTGCTGCTACAGCTGCCCCTTCGGTCACTCCCTGTTGGAAGAGGCTTAGGAAGGGAGTAACTTTTCAAAACCTCTGCATGCTAGTTTGGGTGGGACTTTGTTGTTTTGAAATGAGAAATAATTCTGGGCTATGTTGCTCAAAAATACCTTAAATCTGTGCCCTCAAATTGATTCCTGACTTTTTGTCCTCTTTTCCCAGCTTGTAACATCACACAGAGAGTAGTTGACTTCTGAAAGGCCTGCAAGGTGTGGGATTTAAAGAGGGTGGAGTCTGTAAATACTTGTCCTGCTCTTCCATAGGGAAGGAAGTCACTGTAAATACCAGGCTTTGGGATTTGGGATTTTCAAGTGGGGAAAACTCAAAGCATTCCTCATTTCCTTGAGAAAGGCACAAGACCATCTCTTTCCTTGACTCTGATCTAGAGGTGGATCACTGAGCACTTGGCTTTGCTGATCACTTTTCCGTGTTTTGCTTGTGCATCTTTGCAAAATGTCGTAAGAGGGATGAGCCAGATTGTCTTTAACAGGGATCTAGTGTTTCCCTCTTCTGTTGATACGAGTGTGGCTTTCTAAGGAAAACAGGGATTTCTGAAAATGCAGGAACATGTGTTACATTGCTGCTGCTGAATTCAGTATTTCTAGTAAGTGAGAAATCCTGCTGTAAATGTGCTGATCTACAAGCAAAAAATATCTTTACAAAGTGATTAATTCTTTTTTTTCCCCCCTAATACAGGTTGGGTTGGTTGTAATACCCGATAGCACAGCTGGGTCTGTTCTGTGTGCCATAAATAAGCTCTTGGATCAAGCCTGCATCGTAAACGAAAATCTGCACAAGTTCTTAGCCTCTTGCTGTTACAGTCTTTTGTACTTCCTGCTAACTTTAGACAAAGAGGATGCGGAACATGTACAGAAAAGGTAACGCTGCCTTTCCAGTCTCTGGGTCTGCCATGAAAAGCACAAGTGTATAGAGATGTCAAATGAAAGGACAGAATTCTTTTTTCCCTGCTTATTTTCCTTTCTCCCTTACAATGACATTAGGATTTAAGAAAAGCAACTGTGAGTTTAGCTGAAATTATTTAGAAATGTAGCTGAAGCAGCTTTGATTTTAAAGCCTTTTTTTTAAAGACAGTTCTTCTGGTTAAATGTCAGAACAGAACTGACTTGAGCAAGTCAGAATTTACACCTCAATATTTAGATTTAACCTTCCATTTCAGAAGATAAGGAGCTGTTTGTAAAGGATTTGAGCTTGTAAGCTTAACTTGAATATTTGAGCTTTATAAAAACTCCTTGAGCATCGTTTTATAGACTGTCATTGCATTTGATTAAAAAAGAAACAGAAAATATAAGAGATCAGATTTAAACAAGTCTGTTTTACCTCTGCAGAAGTGTCTTTGAACCATTTAAACAAGTCTTTTTTCCTTTACCTGCTCCATATTCAAAATATCGTTGTTCAAAGCTCGCTCAGTTCTAAGATATGTGTTTAGCCCTAGATTCTGCCTTCATTTATACTAAAGACCCATGTATGACAAAAAAAAAAAAAAAAAAACCAAAACAGATTATTGTTTCATTTCTAAGTTTTAAAGATTCATGTGTACCTGAATTATAATTAAAATAAAAATGGCTTTCCTGCTACACCAGGAGCTTCAGCAACACTTACATCCCATCCTAAACCCAATTTTTTTCCCCTGTGCTGAGCATTTTTAAGCTTCACCAGGAAACTTAATGATGAACTAAAGTTCATCGGGAACTTAATAATCAGGATATTTTTGAGTTTTAAGCTTAAGTTTTATCAGGACATCCTGGTCCAAATGTGCTGCTGCAGCATGAGGAATTCGTCAGCCTCACCGTGGCTGTTGTCTTCGCCACAGAAGCACCTTTCCGCGTGCGGATGCGAGGACGCAGCATCGTGTTTGCAGCAAGCGCCCCCCTCGAGCCTTTCTGAGCGTTGCTTGTGTGTCTCTGTCCGTGCAGGGAGCTGCTGTGGGGCTCGTGCGTGTCGGCGCTGGCGCTGCTGCCGCGCCTGCTGCGGCTGCTGCTGCAGGGCCTGCGCGGGAGCCGCCTCTGCCGCGACGAGCTGCCCGTGGTGGCGCAGCTGCTGCGCCTGCTCATGCAGCACGCGCCGCTCCGCAGCCACATGGTGACCAACGAACTGCTCGTGCAGCAGATCATCAAGGACATCATGGTAGGGATCCTGCCGCTGTCTCGCACAGCCTGCCCGTGTCTGCCTCACTGTAATGTTTCAGTTCTGACAAACCCTGGGAAAAAGGTATCCCAAGAAGGGTTGCAGTCGCCTCTTGTCTCGGCAGTGCAGCCCCTGTACCGGGCTGCTCTGTGAGCAGCCGTGCTCAGCAACCTGATGAGACAGTTTGGGAGTTCAGCATCCGATCCAGGGAGCCTGGACAACTGTCTGCTGCATGGCAAAATGCACCAGAATGGGCTTGCTGCTGCTTCCATTGGATCACCCAGATCAATGGTGGTGTCAGCCGGGCTGAGGGAGAGCAGCTGCTTATTCATTTATTCACTTATTTATTTTCTTCCCCTTTTCAAACCCCTTGCGAGCGCTGAAGGGGGTGAGTTGTTGGGCTCTTGTCCATAGGGTTCTGCTGGAAGCTGTTCTCCTGAACCCTGGGGCTCTGAGCTCTTCTGCCCTGAGCAGATCTGTGCTCAGTTATTGAGCATTTCTTTATCGTGTCTCTTTTTGAATCTTTAAAACTTTGTAAAAAACTGCAAAACTGTGCTGATGGTGACATTAAGCTTGGTGTGTTTTCCCTTCTTCCTAGACACTGAAGAGTGGTGACGTGCAGGAGCAGTGGCTGACAGACCTCCACTACTGTTTCAACATCTACCTGGCCTCTCATTCCCAGGGCCCTGGCCCTGTAAACACGGTGTATTAAAGAGGTGGAACTACATTACTGTAAAGCATTTATTTCTGTTTTGTTTTGAATAGAAGATGTTGGAACAAAGCTTGTCATTTTTTGTAAGCGACACTCGGAATAAAGATTTTACAAAGAACTGCATCTCTGCGTCTCTGTCTCTGTCCACACGCAGGGAAATAGAGCTGGCCTGGATGTTGTGTTACAGGAGTGCTGACCACAGGGAAGGGTCCGCCAGGGCAAATCCACCCTTCTTGGGGCCTAAGTGCTAGCAGAGAAACTAGGAGACTCCTCTTGACTCCAAATCACTTGTTACTTCAAAGCCTTGTAATAACTACAAGATTTATATGTGATTATGTAACACAATGCTGAAAAAATGAGAATACAACATACTTTGAAACTAGAGCATATACATATATATTTATTTTTGGTGACTTAATACTTCGAAAGACTTTCTGCAATATAAATATTTTGCAAAGGTAGTTCCCAAATTATTTTAAAGGACTTCATTTCTTTTCCATAATGGGCCTCTTTGTAGAAAGCAGACTCCTCTTGTACATGTATAAAAAGACAACTGTTTTATTAAAAGGAAAAAAAAAAGTGATTATATCAAAGGATAAAAAATGCAAGCTGTGAAAAGAAATGTATTTACTGAGAATTTATATATATAAATATATATGTATGCGTATATATAAAAGGTCTATGACTCAATAAATATATACGTATGTTTTCCCTGACGACATTTCTATTTATCCCTCTAGCAAGCTAAGACCTAACCTCTTTCTTAGGTACAAAACAGACACATGAAGACTGTTCTTCCTTTCCTGTTAAGGCTGTGAAATACACGTATTAAAATTAGGATGCAGTCTCACTGCAGTCAAACTGTTGGATCTGTAGCATGTTTTTCCTCCTCTTTGCGCCTACATTAATTAATACATTTGCTTATTTTTGAGAATGAAATACTTCAGGAAAGTCAAGCTACTGCCACCTTATTGTAATGCCAGGGTTATAGCTTAACTTTCTGTTTCCAAATGCAATTCGGATTTCATTCTGGCAGTAAATAAATTAACTGTTGACTTTTAAAAACTAATTTGCACACAAAATACAAGGAGACCAACTTCCCTGGCAGGCTGCATGGCATGTAGTGTTTACATAAGTGCTTACATTACAGGAAATGCCACATGTACAGGCACGTTTTAAGTTTCAACCCTTTCATTTTGCTTAATGCTTGAGTCTTCTTGGTTTTGCCGAAGCAGCTGATCTCATGTTGTATGAAAACTGCTTTGATTTCCCCATGTTCTCCAGCAAATTAATGCACTGTAGGTCGTTCACTGCAAAAGAACAGAAGGGTTTTGAGTTGCACTGCTTTGGAGGAAGAACAAGTTTTCATTGGCACTGGGTTCTAGATTGCACAGGCAGTAAAACCAGCAGCTAAAGAATGAACCTTTTTTCACAAATTTTTTTTCTCACTGTTAATTACTCGTAGATAGAATTAATTGCACTTGATCCAGCCTAAAACACTGCTGCAGCTGTAGCTTGGAGACCCTACAGGAATGGGGGTTTCCTCTCAAAAATGGCTGAAAGTTTTTGCACTGCCAGGTCAGGCCCTGCTGAGGCTGGCAGGCGCCAAGGCCTCTGCTCAGCAGCATCTCTGCCTCCTCCCACTAGCGACAGGGCCCGTTTTAGAAGGATGAAGACAGGATGTCTGGTCAGGGCTAAAGCAAATGCTAGAAAAGCAAAAAATGAACACAAGGGGACTGGTCTCTTCATAGTTCTGACATGCAGTATGTACTATTTTTATTTATTGTAGTGCATTAAAACCAATGCGTGTGTCTTCCTATTTTTGCAGCGGTTGGATACCAGGGTCAGGCTAAATGTTCAGTTTAAATCTGAACATCCAAGAAGATGACACCTTGTCAAACCCTGGACTTGCTGCTTTCCAACACCAAGAATTCCACTGCCACCTCCTCCGCGCTGCTTGTCCCACATGAAACAGAACCTGGGCTTAGTGGTTTGTTGGCCTCTGCAGAGACCCTCTGTAAAGACAGCCTCACTATAAAAGCTCCGTCATCTACGAAACTGCCAGAAGACATTAAAAAAAAAAAAAAAAAAAAGCAGCAATGTTGAGGTTACAAATTCTTTTCAGTGGGTCCTGCAGTGGGAGAAGCAAAGATGTTTTAACATCTCTAACGAACGTGTGTGCCTCGTACACTAACTATGGCCCTTTCCCCCGCTGCCCGTTCCTCCTCGTGGCCGCTCCCGCCCGAGCGCCCGCCTCCCGCGCGCCCGGCGACCGTTAACGGCTCCCGCCCCGCGCGCCTCACAGCGTTAACGGCTCCCGCCCCGCGCGCCCGGCGACCGTTAACGGCTCCCGCCCCGCGCGCCGCCCTGCGGGGCTCACAGCCCGGGCTGCCGGCGTGCCCCTCCGGCGGCTCCTTCATTGGGGAGCCACCCGCTCCCACCGCCCCGGCCCCAGGAGCCGCTGCTCCCGCCATTCCCGCCGCTCCCACCGCCAGCTCTGAGCTTCTCCCGCCGCTCGGGCAGCGCTGTGAGGCGCAAGGGCCGCGGGTGGGAAGCACCTTGTTGCTGTCTGGGAGCCAGGGCTGGCGCCCCGCGAGCTCCCGTGAGGGGGATGAAGGCAGCCAGTGTCCCCAGGGACTGGGCACCGTTCCTATCGCCGTCCCGTTCATCACCACGTTATGAGAGAAAAGGCCGCCCCAACCTCAAATGAAAGCCTTTAATTTTCAGGAGACAGGGAGACCTGTTGTTCTGGAAAGTAAACGACAGGCAGTGCTTGCCAAAGCTGCTATAAAATTCAACTTTGTGGTTGCATGAAGAGATGGCAGTAAAACACCTGTCTGATACCTCTTAATGACACCCAGTTATTTCAAACAGTGGGAGGAAAAAAAACCCTGCTCTTCATGGGGGGAAAACTGGCAGTTCTAGGTCTACGTGAATTCTAGGTCTACTGCTGGATGTCTTCTAGATGTCAGAGTTTTGCAAACTGATGGGAAGAAATGTATTTCCCTTTCCATTGCCAAGGATCCTAGCTGCTGGCTGGGTGAGGTGCTGCTGGTCCACGCTGGGGCAGGACCCACATGTGGCGCATTGGGGATCCGCGTGAGCCGCCTCCGCGAAGAAGCCCCCGGGCCCTTCCCGTGGGGCAGCTGCCCCTGCCCGGCACGTGCGTGACACCCTCGGGAGGCTCCCAGGAGGGGACGGATGCCCTGAGCAGGTAATAAGCGTGATGACAACAGGGAGGCCAGCCTCATTGTTAAGCTATTTGACCAAGTACTGCCGCCAATATAAAAGTTCCTTTCTTTAACAGCTCATAATGTTTTTTTTTTTTTTGAAGCTCTTTTGCCTTATGTAGCACAGCCCCATCTGTCCACATGTCTTATTGGACTGTCCAGACCCTGCCAAGTTGCCTCTGTCTGGCATTCGCTTCAGGTTATTGCAGATGATGCTGTCCTGATACCAGCTTTATTCACAGTATTCAGGTACCAACAGAACCGAGGATGCTGCAAGGTCGTGGCGCCACCGTTTCGGCTATAAATGCTTTCCTTAGGATAAAACTTACTGCAAGGGCTGTTTTATGAAACAATTGAGGCTCTATGTGCAAGGCAATATGACATTTTAGAAGACTCAGTGTGACATTTCAGAAGAGAGAAGAAAAGGCCAAGATTAGACACACATGAACATGAATTGTCTAATTAAAAAAGCCCATCTTGGGGAAGAGGTTTACTGGATTGTGGATTTTCACGTCCCTATACATGAACTCAACCATATGTTTCTAGCCGAGGTGTGTAAATTCTTAGTACATGTAGTAGAGAAAAAAGGAAACAGTCATCTGCCTTTCTACAGTGTTGGTAAATATAGGGGCTGATAAACCAAAGTATTAGCATCTCTACGGAACTGTAAGCAAAGGCGAGTGTAGAGTGTCTGTCTGGCTCATCATTACGGAAGTCCAGCATATTAAGGTCTTTCCTAGAAACAGTTTGATGAAAATAGCTATTAATGGAAGTAATTCAATATGAACATAAAAAAAACACTGCTCAAGTAAAGTTCTCCAAAAGTAAAGAAAGAAACAACATAAAAGCGCAAGAGGTTGGCAGTAGATACATGCTTTGATGTGAGGGTCTTGCACAGGTTCTTTTATCATCTTTCCTAAGGTGAAATTAACCTCATTTATATAAACATTCACAGTTATAGGAGCACAATTGGTTATTTCAAGGTGTGTTTTCCTTACCTGAGGTGAGATGCGCTTCGGGAAGTTTGAACTTCGAGGGAGGCCTCGTGGGCTGGTGCGCTTTGCCCTCCTGAGAACGCCCTTCAGCAAAGAGAACTTGGTTTATCAGATGAAGGTGCGGTTATATATCACTATAAAGTATTTAACTTAGCTACAGCTTCATCTAAATCCCCAAAACATCTTCAGGTAGGTTTACATTTCTGGAGAGAAGACTCATGAGACAGTCTGTATGACACGAAACTGCTACCACCCTCACAGAACTTTACATAAACTTTGAATACGTCGTGCAGTGGCTCTGTAGCAATACACATTAAGTGATCCTCAGCTTCATTTTTTAATTGTTTTTGACTGTCTAAGCTACAGATCCACGACAGAAGTGACCTACCACCTGTTAACATGCATAGGGCTGGCACCTCCCCACTCCATCAGTAATCTGCAATGGTAGATTACCTGTCTACCACTGTACTTAGGTTTTAAAGCTTAAGCTTTAAAAATGTTTTGCCTCTACTGTTTCTCCAAGATGCATCCCTTTCTACAGTACAGGCATGGGCATTGTGCAATGCAGAGCGGTACTATCATAAAAAGATAATAATAATGATACTTAAAAAAAAAAAGACGTAAAGAAAAAGAATAAAGAACAGCTGTCTTCAGACAAAAAAAGGCAGTAAAACTGAGGAACATATTTTTAAAAGAATTGTAAAAACTAAAATGCCTGGAAGTTGTAGGCAATGTTTAAGAGTCTTTAACAATTAACAAATAGTTTATATCATTTAATTAGATACCGCTAGGAAAAAATCCCCAATGCAGGGAATGCTGTTAATTCTAAAAGCGAAAGTGTAATTCTTGAAACTACAGTGAAGGCAGTGAAGGCAGAGTGATGACGGAATTACCATATATCTGCTTCAGGATGGCCTGCTTGCTTGTCCTTACGGCAGGGCTGGCTTTGCTGGCGGACTTGAGGACTTTGCCGGCAGGATCCGCTCTGGGAGCGCCGTGGCTCGGCGGCTCCCGCCACGCCAGCCGCACGAAGAAGGCGGCCGCCTCGTGTCTCCATCTCTCTTCGTCCTCCTTGGAGCGGCGCTTGGTGCCCAGCAGCTGGAGCAGCTCCCGCCGCAGCCGGTAGCTGCAGGGCAGAGCAGAGCACTTGGTTTACGTGACCCGTTTTAACTTCCCACGCCTCGGCTCACCCGGCGGATTACACGAGTAGCTGGGATCACCGAACTCCCACTGATGTGCTGAGGCCCTGGGATGAGGAATGCTTGCTCTGAGGGCAGAGTAAGGCCTGGGTTCAATTCCAGAGGTTAATTTCCTGCAGTTATTATGGATTTGGCACTACAAGTAACAAAAGCTACAGTGCTGCAACATCAGCCTATCTGCTGCTCTGCAGTTTACAGAAAATGTGGAAGAGACAGGAACCATATAAATATATTTATAATATTTGTGACTTTATTTACGACAATGCATATGTAATTTAACCAACCTTCAATTTACACATTTTGCAGTGTTGTGAATCGGTGAGTAACCTCTCCTACTGCCAAGAGACCAGTTTATACATAGAACTTTCTGCATTTCATGCTGAGATAACATGGACTACTATTTTAACAGATAGTTAGAATAAAAAGAAATGTGTAACACAAAACTTCAAATGGAATACAAAGTCTTCTACACAGGTAGCTGCACAAAATATCTGAAAGGTCCTATTAAATTAAATTAAATCTCAATTACTGTGAAGAAAGTTGCACAGGTGCTCACTATACATCGTTACACTTTATCTGAAAGCTATAGTCTGCTCTTACTCCTTCATCTTACTCCTACATTCAATGCTAAGTAAAACAGAAAAAGAGCTGATGGCAGATATTGAACAGTGGGAAAAATAAGTGATTTCTTTGCCTTGCTATTTACTTGAGGAATAGTCATAAATAGCAAAAGGAGAGCAATGACAAAAGTACAGAAAGAAGTGATACTGCACCCAAAAAAGTTGAAAATTCCACTTAAAAAAGGCTCTATATGAATTAATCATATCACATTCCAAGATTTTAACTTTTCACTGGAATAGCAATGTGCTCACAAAAGTCAATCTAACTTTTACATTCCCAAAACAACAAACAGATAAATGGTATATTACTGGCGTGTAAATCCAGTCACATACTGGGATATTATTTAGAATGGTAGTTTTAAAGAGCACAGTGAAAGAGCAGCCAAGGGAGCAAATGGGAAATTGCTGAGCCAGTGTGGGTGTGTTCAAATGGTCCCATTTCAGTTGAGAAACCAAAGCTCGGCCAGCTTGGACCAGGGGCTGCCTGGCTTGGTACGTGCCCTCTCTAGGAATGACCAGCCCCTGCTGCTTCAGAGAAAGGCAAAACTGTGCCTTGTTTCCTAAATCAGCTACACAGAAAGTAGTGGGTGAAACGCTGCTTCCCACACTCCACAATCAAGCTCCTAACCCTTGTGTCTCAGCAGTGTGGGCTCTTGTGCAACAGGGAATCCAGGTAACACTCCCCAGTTCAAAATCCATAACCCAGTGGGTCTTCACAGCCAAGAAACATCACTCAAAGCAGCCAGCACAGCATCGTGCCTCTTGACTGACTTGCACAGACATATAAAAGCCCAAGAGCTTGTCTTTTCAAAGCAGCATGATTGTCTTGGCAATTAGCTCACTCCGAGCCTCCCAAATATTCTGTGGTTTAGTTATCCAGTTACAAGTCATGGCTGAATCCAGTTTAAAGGTGTGTCAGGAATGGTGCTAAAAGGACTGGTGACAAAAATCTCTGTTGAAAGCTCTTAAGCTCCTACATGTGTGTAAGCTTGCAAACAAGCAGGCCTGCAGTGAAATCTATGCTCATCCATATCTTGATCTGCTTTCTGTAAAGAAATACCAGTGCCTGAAACAGAAGGTTAGTAACTAGTCCAGTTATTACAAGTTATCACTTGCTTGCCTCACACTTTTTATGAACTTAGTAATTCTAGGCCAACTAGTACACACTTCCAGTTGTTTGGTGAAAGATTATTAAATTCCTGATTTACCACTGAATAATGTTATAAACAAAGGACCAAATAAAGCACATATCGCCCACAGGTTTAATGTAATTTACACCTAATAGTACCTCAGTCTTGTCTAGCTACTGAACAGCAGTCTTTCTTACCTTCTCCATGTCCTCTGTATTACAGTAGCAGCGTAGTTCTTTTTCCGAAAAAGCTCTTTTCTTTTTCTTTCTTTTTCTATTACCTGCATCCGAATCTCTAAAGGGATTTGTTCAATATTTGTGCTTCGCCATGTGACAGAAGGACATAATTGATCATCTGCATTCCTGGGCCCAATTACCTCTACTTTTCCCAAGTTCAAACTGTCATCAGAAACTGAACATGCCGATGGATTTCTTGGCACTGTTCTTGTAGATTCTTCCCTGGCAGACAATGAAGGACAGTTCTTTTTTGCTAATTCATCATTTCTCACATTGTTAGTTTGTTCTACAGCACATATACTGTCATTCTGGGGATTTACAAATACCATTTTGGCACTTCCTGGTCTACTAGAGCCAGCTGGTGAACATCTCTCATGATTTACTTCTTTGTGATTTACTTCTTTATTTCTTGATTTCTGATGATGCCTTTTGCCTTTTGAAACCGTTTCATGCTGTCTCCAATTTCTTGCAGTTCCACCAGCACAACTTGTGTTGCACGAGATTACAGCAGTTCCTTTGCAATGGTCCCCATTACCGGATGAAGACTGACCTGAAACTCTTGATTTCTCCCCAACACCAGCGATTGTACGAGCATTCTTTTCACTCCTATGAGCAAAAGCATTTGCCTCAGTGGGGTAGTCATGATGCTTTTCTCCATCCAGCTCTGCAGCAGCTGCAACTTGACTCTTCACTTCACTTTTTCTTCCCTCATTTGCTTTGCTGCGGTGGAAATGGCCACAAGTTGACTTGTTTTTGGTGTGTTTTCTCAATAATTCCTTAGCTAGAGAAATAGAAACAAACACGATCCAGCACAACAGAACTTATTTATCTATTTTTTGGTGTTTTTCTTTGCTCAGTTATCTTTGAGTCACTTTCACACCTACTCTCAGAACAGAAAACAGAATAGACCCAAACACCTTCACTTGCTTATCACTCTACAAATCCTTCTCTTACTTACTTTAGGTATCTGACTCAGTAAGTCAGATACCTAAAAAATAAGTTCACAAGGAGAAACTCTGTCTTCACTGACTTTGATACATGCATTTTCTCCAAAGCAATTCACTTATCGCGTGGCAAAATGAGGAAGTCCTGTTAACCCACCTGTATGCTCAACTGCTAGAACAGGAATAAACTGTCACTGCTTCAAGCTAATTTGCTTCTTTGCTTTGCAAGCTAAGCTTCTGCTCTACCCACACTGTATTCTGATGCATAATAACCTATTTGTAGAGGGACGGTGTAATCTGCTGACCCAGGAAACCCCTGATTTCTCAGAACTTGCCCTTGATATCCTAAATCGAACTATAAAAAGTCCTTTATATTTTTCCTTAGCTGCAAGCTTTCTTTTTCCAGTTTCCAGGCCCAGGGGGAGAGAAAGTCATATGTGATAACTTCCAAGTATTCTGATGATAATGACTTGGAATCCACACTGGAAGGCAAACCTGTAAATCTCCAAGATGTCTGAGCATGACCAGTTTGGAAAGATTAAGTCATAAACATCCATAAATTTGCTCTCACCAGAACTAATTGAAATGCTACAAAACTAATATGAGAGTGTCAAAACATTGATAAAAACTGATGCTGCATTTATAGATGAAGAGAGTAAAAGTGCAGAGCAGGGCAAGAAAAGTAACTAACAGAAGCAGCTTAGACACACTGTTCACAGCACGGTTCCTAAGCGCAGTCTCCACTCAGAAGTGTCCTGGATGGTTCTCAACCTCCAGGGACAACAAAAGACAAACCATAGCTGGAGCCTATCATGGAGAATGAGGTTACCTCCCCTTTGTATGCTAGAGATGTCACTCTGCACAATTTTAACCTCTTTGTTGAAAAAGAGGAGTTACAATTTCTTAATTAACATGCAGGAATCCCACAGATAGTTCGGACATGTCTAATTTCTCCTCCAAATGGGGCATCCAAGAGAACAACTCCAAACAACCTGTCCTATTATTACAGATGTTAAATCTACAGGTATTTTTCACTACTGAAATTCATGGACTAAAAAGAAATCTTATCTTAGGGATAGGCTGCATGAATCGCTTAAATAATGAGAGAACAAGAAATGGTGGAAAGGAGTAGAACAAGTCATACACGCTGATGAGTGGGCCAATTAGATGATGACCAACCTTGCCTGCTTTGATGACCTTCCCTCTGCAGCTCTGCAGCGTGGCAGGTCTCCTTTGGCGTCCCCTTGCTGCGACCAGCCTGGGGTGAATCTCCACTGCTTCTCCCCGACGGGTTTTGGGAAGCACTGCAGGAGGGAAGTCTATTGCTCTGCGTGTCACTTTGTTTAGTAGGTAACTGCGTGGCACTGGTGGCCTTCCCTTGATGTCCAGAATTCTGTTGTGCTCCAGACTTGTTTTGTTCCAAGTTCTGCACTCCTTTTTGCAGCTTGGCTTCTTTTCTCTTAGTCTCTTCTTCACGTTTCCTGTAATGGAAGCCAATATATTAATAATAACTCCTAAAGACAAAATCTTAGGAGCATGTAGCTGACTTGAACACATTCATCTCCAGAAACCTGGCAGCGCCAAATAAAAGTGACTATGGCATCTTTAGCGGGAAAAGAAGGCACATCGGATATTAACTCAGAGTGCCCTAATGTGATCAAAAATAATAAGTGACCTGGAGCTACAGCTTAGGATGGTTACATCTTTATATGCCAGGTTCCCATTCATTTTGAAACAGTTTAATGAACTGTTTTTAAAACAACACTTTATCTAAAACAATGAAACTTTTTTTTTACTATATAATATTTAATACGAACAATTTTAAACTAGATTTAAAATGGTTAATCTTTTTGCTGGTATAACTTTACCATTGATAGATAAATTTTTCTTTGCATAAACTGAATACACATCAGTTTACACAAACTGATTACACATCATATTATACAAATTATAAGCACAGAAAACATGATACATGAATGAAGAAGCTGTGTGCATAAATCTTGCCATTACAATTACAACCTTTTGGTTTTGAAAAATGAAAGAAGTCATGCCTTTTTTCAGTAAGGTCGGCATAAGAGAATTTTCGACAACTGTGGAAAGTAGCCTATTTTGAAATACAATAAGATGTCATTGTATTTTAAACTCTTTTTCATACAAAGCAGAACAGAAAGCAGTAAGAAGTGGCAAACTTTACCTAACTAAATAGCTACCACTGATTTTTTTTTTGATAAATTAAGCTCCAGTTAGCTATAAAATAGAGTGACACTTTTTCCTGTTAGCATGGACAGCTGGTATATGTCGTATCATGGGGCTGCCTGATATTTGAACCTGTTTCCCATGCCACATCCCTGTCTGCAGACTGCTGACACATGAGCTCAGAGCAGAGGGTGACAGGTTAGTAGTGCCGAATGCCACCCTCAGTTCCTGGGAGCCCCATCAATGCCAGCACGTGTCATTTCAGGGCGAGGGGCTAGGGAGAAGCCCTAACTTTATCTGTCACTGCTACCTCATCAAGTATGCTCTGCAGTAGCTCGTTGAACTTGGTACCTAAAAAGCTGCTAATTGATCTACAAAGTACAGCTGTGGTGGTCTGAAGCTCAGGGTTCCCTCTGGCACAGGAAAAAACGTGTCTCGTTTCAAATAATAATGGCATTTCACATATATACTATAGGTGGGAGTGTCTCCCGTGTAGAGTATAGGGGTCACTGCCACTATTCTACTGTTTGACCCCTAAGTTAGACCTTACTTTTCACGCAACATTTTCTTATCGTTGCAAGAATCAGGCAGCCTGCTACTCGTCTCCCTCACTCAGGGGTGGCACATAAGAAAGTGCGCGAGACGGGCAATACAGAGTGAAATCAGAGTGGCCTGCGCTCCTTGGACTAGCAAGCAGATGAACTCAAAACTCAGCAACATGCCAGCTACAGAGCTACTGAGATGCCATGAGGCTGGGCCAGGAGAAGTTGTTAAAGGGAATTTTTCTAGAGATCTTTTTGCTTGTGTGATAATTCTTCAGATTTACTGAAATTTACCCGTTTTACTGTGGTCTAAGTTGAGACACTGGCTTTCCCAAACATGTAAAGGAAGTAAGTCCCCAAGAGAAGGGCTGTGACCTTTCTCAGGAGGTTCTCCTGACTCAACAAATTTGGCTCTGATTCGGTTAGTGATAATATGCCAATATGCCAAGATAAAGTGTCCTCTGTGAAGGATATCTTAATTTTAGGATAGCGCTGAATTTTAGAAACACTCCACATCATATACAAACTACTCCTTTACAAGGAGGGCACGGCAAGCCTTCTCTGAGCATCCAGCACCCTTCGCTTTCCAAACCACTCCACCACTACCTGACCTGGGTGCGTTGTTACAGGCCTGCTCCGTGGTTCCTGGTTTAAAGCTCTCCTCCCTCCAAGCTGCTCAGCCAACTTGGCAACGATGCTTTTGCATCACTTTGTCAGCTGGATCTTGCCCTTAAACAGCAGTTTTTGATTCTCATAGAGGGTCTCGTGGTTGCAAATGCCAAACCCCTGCCATTAACAGTAACTTCACATCCAGGTTGGACCTCCAGAGTCTGTCTCCTCCTTAACACGCTCTCCTCTTTCATGAGCAGGATCAAGGAGATCACGAGTTGGAAGCCCCGTGCCCTTCACCCTCAAACCCAGCATGGTGACATGCTCTTCACACACTCGTGGGCTCCCTTGGCAGGAGTTTTGACTTTGAACGTACCCTTTTTGCTTCCTGCTCAGTGGCATGATAGCACCGCCTGTGGTGTTGGCGTAGACCAATTTTTATTTTATAAAATACCATGTCTTTGGTATTGGATGGTTCAACGTGGCTGGTTTTTTAAAGATATTTCACAGACAATGAGAACAGTGGCTTTATCAGATGATAATATAGATAGAGGATGATGGTTACCTTTTAAAGCACAAACTATTTCAAAATATTCAGATTTAGAGATCATTTATGTGAGTTTTTTTATATTAACATATGACAAAGTAAGTTTTAAGCTCATAACATTGAAATTTGATTTTTTTTTTTTTTGTTCTAGAAGTTGAGCATCATTCAGGATTCCCGCATTATGTCTACAATTATCAGGACAGCTGATTTTTTAAAATCAGTAGCAATATTAACCATTTTTATGTAGGAATTCTCTAGCTAAGTTTAACTGTAGAAGGCACAGATGGCTATGCAGAATGGTGACAACACGGTGTCCCCTCCAGTCTATCTCAGACTATAAAATTACTGTTACATAAAATTTGTTATGTGACAACTTGATTTGCTCGTACATTCCAGCTGTCTTTTTATTTTGTTTCGGTACTTAATTTTGTATTTGCTACTTTGTCTCTATTGTTTTCAAACAAATCAACAACCACAGTAAGTTTTAGAGTGTGCATGAGAACTCACAGAGGGAAATGATAACAAAAAACACCTCAATATGCCGATGATAAAATCCCTTTTCATTGAATTTTCTAGATGGGTTCTCACAGATTCATAGATTCCTCTAAAAATGACTGTCATAACAAAGAAGAAAATTACCTAATTTGGTAAAGTCAGTTGTGATGACAGAGCAAGAACAGAGTATTTGAAATTAAAAGGTGTAATACGTACGATGTTCAGATATATACATATTTCAGATAATTTCAAAGACAGCTTCTCCATCTGACATCTATAGGATCATCTCGTGGCTTCAGAAGAAAACGTAAACATCAAAGGCGCTGCAAATCACAACTTTAGGATCTACAGGCATAAGCATTAGTTCTGACTGTTTTTTTAAACAAATACTAATCAGGATAGTAGCAGCATTCCAACCCGAAGGCGGCCAGACTGACAAGTTATGCAGAGCTTGAATGAATGAAGCATAGCAGATTGCAGCTGGCTTTGTCCATGATAAGGGAAACAACAGGAACAACAAAACATAACTCCAGTAATTATGTTCTGTGTTAATTCACATATGACCTCCCTTTACAGAAAGGATCACAGGATCACAAAATGGTTGAGGCTGGAAAGGACCTCTCTGGATGCCTTGGTCCCAACACCTGCTCAAGCAGGGTCATGTTGAGCAGGGAGCCCAGAACTATGTCCAGACTGATTTTGCATGTCCACGGATGGAGACTCCACAACACCTCAGGGCAACCTGTTCCAGCCCTCAGGCACCTCCAAAATAAAGAGGTTTTTCTGGCACATTCAGATGGAACCTCCTGAGTTTCAGTTTGCACCCACTGCCTCTCACTGGGCACCACAGAAAGTGTGTCTGACCCCATCCTGTTTATAGTCTCCTTTCAGATACTTCAAGAGGTTCATAGCTTCAATCTACCAGTTCCTGGGTGATCAGGGACGTGGAACATTGTGACAATTAACATATAGACTGGTAATGGCAATCACATTAGTATGGTGATTAAGCTGTGCAAGTGCACACTCGTACTGTGACTTCAATATATTGCTGAAACACGCTGCTTAATCAAAAATCGTGTGTAACATCATATATCTCCAGAAAAGGCATTTATATTAAACCTTGTGCTCTCTGTTTGCATGCAGAAAGAATGTGGTCAGAGAGAACTGGATGTTGGGGCCCGCTCCAAGGATGGCTGTACAGTGCCTATTAGCAGGCAGGATGCCTTGTTAGTAGATAACTAACTTCAAGGCCGACAGTGTACTTGTTCCATCAGCGGATCAAAAACAAAGGCAGCTGTCCGGCTGCTGTGTGACCATGAAGCTAATTGGACAGTAGCTGTGGCGCACTTGTTTTTAGGCATAAAAGGTATTGTATCCGGAACCTTATAGGTAAACTTATAAGGGATTGGATGCCAGCCCCGAAGACAGTGGC